TCTACAGCAGATTTAGACTTGGAATCCGATGTTTCTATCATTTTCTGGGCATTTATTGTCTGAAATTTTAAAATATTTTATTAATTCACCAATATATTTGCGATTTTTATTATGATTATTGTTTGTATTAGTTTTTCACAAACTGTAATTATGGTAATTTGTTATGGTAGAATGTAAAGCATAGGTCAAGTCCGCAAGTTTTGGACCGCAAAATTAGGTCCGCAAGTGTCGCACCAACTCAAAACATGGTTCAGCCCGCGCAAAGCCATAACTTTCTTCAAGATTTCCGAATTTTTCAAAATTTAGTATTAAACGATTCCTATCATCTAGCTAAAAATATTGGTACCAAAAACGTTAAGGTAAAGAAACTTTTCAGTTATTTAAGGCCAATTGTTGCCACAATCATTATATATGCCATACCTTTATTCATTAAAGGTAATGTGAATAACCTGAACGACTAAATATAAGCCATTGTTTTGGTCTGGTTTATACTGGCCAAAATTGAATTGATGCAGTTTGCTGAAATCGTAAGAATTTCCAGGCTTTGGGTTGCTTGGAGTGTCCATGCTCAAGAGTGTCCATGTTTGCGACTTTAATACAAAATTTAATTTAAAAAATTTGGGAATATAGATAATCAAATACCCTTATTTGCCCTTCAATTTGTTCCTCCGATTCAATGGAAACTTCAATTTTCCGCACTTTCTTTTTTTCGGTTTTTTGTTCAAGCGCGAATGAAATATAACTTTGTTGTCCAAAAGAAGTCTGGACCTTTATTAAGAATGAGTTTTTATAATAAATACCAAAAAATTACTTTTTCGGATTCGGCCACACGAAAATCTTTGGATTTTACACTGATTTTCCATGAATATTCAGTTGGTAACACTTGGACTTTGAAATCAAATCCAACAACAATTTTAAACATCCATTGGATGACAATACAGAATAAAATTATAAATAATTTCATTCCGATTGTTCGGAAAGTTTCCATTTAAGGAGTTGAAAAGTTTTCTCCTTAAATTGGATTTATTAAAAAATTATTGAAAATTTTCTATAGAAAATTCCCTAAAAAATTTCCTATAGTATATTTACTTGCCATAAGTCTTCAATAGGAATATTTAAATTTTTTACTCCTTCCTATATGTATACGTTAAAAATTTAATTTAAAAATTATAAAATATTAAAATGTGTTGAGGTTTTGGCAGTTTTTGACTGCTATTTATTTAAAAAAATTCTCCTAAGGTATTAAACGGCACTCCCCTCCTGCGACTGCGCATTAACGCAAGCAAAGGTATATAGTGAATAGGAGAAAGGGGAAGGTATGGGGAGGTGATTCATCAATTCTCTAACTCTATGGTAAGAAATGTATAAATCAGAATTATATATAGGGTGTAGGTGAGTGATCGTTTACGGCAATTGATAAATGCCCAACGATTATACTAATTCATTAATCACAAATTTTGTTTAATTCTCTTACGCTCTCTCATTCAGTGGAGTTAAAGTCAAATCCCTAACAAAATCTTGTTGGAAAGTCACTTGATTGGGAATTCAATAATTAAAATGCTAAGAAATGTGATTGCACGTGCTACAACACTCGAGAATTTCTAAAAAATGTTCGGCATGCTGTAATAAATGTTCTATTCCAGTTTACTCAAGAAAGGATAAAGTTTGTTGGAAGAATTGGACAAAACTTAAATAAATTCTAGGGTAATGAAAGGATTAAATTATGTGGTATGCGTCATGTCGAGTGGTGTACTAGATCAGTCTGGTCAGCTGAAGATGTTGTAGCCGCTTAATAACATCTTTCGTCTAATAAGCCAGCCGCCTAATAACATCTTGCATTATCTGAAGGGGAAATAACTACAGTAAAATTGAATTTTATTGTATTAGGTTGAGCAAAAAGTTTTGTCAGCCTAGCATGCTTTTGGCATTATTACTTTAAAGATGTTCTATATACTATTTAGTCAAAAATACATTAACAAGAAGTAAATTCCCGATCTGTTAAGAAAACATAAATAATTGAAACCGAGCTCCGTGTCAGATGTAGCTCTGATAGTGAAATCTAACAAAGAATATACTGTTACGGAGTACGATTCTGACGGAAAGACAAAAAAAATCTGACTTAAAATTTCTTATATATTTTTTAAGTTTAGGTATTGCAATTTTTGTTTTTTCAAAACTAACAGAAATTCTCGATCTCGAGTTGCCGATTAAAAAAATTTTTTCAATCAATTAAATAAAATCAAACAAACAAGCGATTCAATTAACAACTCTTGACACGTTAAAAAATTCTCTCCACTAATTTTTCTATCGATTATGGAATTTAATCATTGGGAAATCGATTTGAAAAAAATTTTTTAGCTGTTAAATTTAAATAAAAATTTTAATAAAAATTAAATATTTAATAAGTTATAATTCCCTTGCTTCAGAACCGGAATCAGCGAAAAATTGTAGCGGAAATGTAGGAACCCAAGTTAGGCTAGAACTGAACAAAAGTTGCTTTGGCAACTTAGATGGCATCCTTGTTAAGATGTTTGTATATAGTAAGTTATCTTCCTATTAAAGTTCAAAATAATTTAGAATAATTCAATATAATAAGGTATAAGGAACATTAATTATCGCCGATTCAGTATTTGGGGCATATTTTGCTCTATAACTTTCTTACTTTTCCTCTGATTCAAGTAATTCTCATATCATTCGAACGGTCGCAATATGCGGCATATTTTTAATGATGAAATAATCTGATCATTTTACATAAGGTTAGAACCAAATAAATATCGAAAAACACAATTGACCTCACTTATTCGGCTGAAACATTATGTAAAATGATATGATCAAATCAACCCTGGTAGGTAAAATAATTCCCACTCTTAGAGCTGAATCGTTCCCTCCCTATAATAAAAATATTGTAAAAAACTACCGAAAAATTTTATAAAAATCAAGTTTAAAGAATGAAATATAATAAAACCCAATCACTTTACAATTTAAAAATAGTGTAGAATACCGTATATGCTTGAATAGTTTCTCTCTCTCAAATATTTACCCCTCCTCGATTAATTCCTCCTCCAGCGAAATATTGAAAATCTAAGTACACATTGTACTTATTAGAGCATATACGATATGGTTGTCGGTTCCTGGAAAAATCTTTGCATATCCTGTCCAAACTGAAATTTTCTTGGTTCTTTTTTCAATTTTGTTCCGAACCGACAACCCATGTGTAAATATAAAATAATTTTTAAACTAATGGATTATTTGATACATATCAATCAAATTTCAGTTTCTTTATGAGAAACTGCCAAAATAATCAGAACATTAGTAAAGGTAAAATTTTTAAATAAAAAATGTTAAAAATAAAACTTCCTGATTTAAATAAATGTATGTTTAAAAATTTAAAAAATGTTTAAATAACCCATTTTCCCCAATTTAAAACCCAAATCGTCATAATCCTGTATTGTCCGAACCGACTTTACAAGATAAATCAAAATTTTGAAGTTAATACAACAAAAAAGCTTCATTTCTTTAAGGAAACACCCCAAACATGCAATGACAGAAGGATTCAAAAATGAATTTAATGCTAGAAAAGGGTTTACTTTTAAGGTTAGCTGTTCAAAACTAATTACCAAATATCCGAAACTATCAGGCTTTTTCATTCTTGTTACATCCCAATTTTAGTAGAATTTCAAAATTTACCCAATTTGTTAATGAGAACGTTTAAACCCCATACCGAAAAAGAAGCCGGCGAAAAGGGAATCAAGTTGGGAAGAACAAGGAATCGAGTAAACCGCTAAAAACATGGGCAATCAAGTTAACACAATCCAAGGAAAAAATCAAACCATGTAAAATAATCAAATAAAAAATTTCTCTCTCAAAACATTTTTGTTACCTCCTCGAAAACTGACTTTAAAGGTTGTTACATTATATGACAGCCGGGATCATCTTCTTGACACCCAGTTTCATTCCATTGTTGATTCATTTGGTGATTTTGAAAGTGTGGATGATCACTATTACTTTGATAATCATTAGTATAAGTTCCGTCATAGTAAACGCTAGGGCTGTAACCATCATTAGGAACAGTTTGTCCGTCATTATAATGCTCCACTTTAACACCATTGTAATAGCTTTCATTTGCATTGGCCGTGTGTTCATCTTGTTCTTCTATTATTTGGTTTCTTAAATTCATGCTTTGGCTTCCATTACCAAACAAATGATTACTACTATAGCTACTTCCATGATCTAAAATATAATCTATTGATAACCATACAAAGGTTTAACTATAAAATTTAATTTTTTATAACCTAATGGAGATGTCTACATAATAAATTGAACGCTTCTAAGAAGCATAAACTAAATAGTCTGACATTAGCTTACAGAACTGTTACGACCCGAGGTGTGTTCGAGATTTAACTAATGTCGACGAGCACAATAATAAAAGTTTATCACATGTAGAAATGAAAAATGAAGGCGAAGGGAATTGGACAGACAAAGGAGATCAGTGACTAGCCCCGCTAGATGATCCCACTAGACTTACGCTTACGCTGGCTTTTATAGTAAACACTTTAAGGGCTGACGCCCATACACAACAAGAACTATGTAGTATTAGTAGTAAAAAACATTAGCCTACCAGAACTAGTATCTGTCCAATAGCTAGATGATGATGGACTATAAGGATGACTTCCAGTATAGCCCCCTCCATTTTGGTGGTCAACAGGCATAGATTCACTTCTATAATATGTTTTCTGGCCTCCAAAGTTTGCATGCATATTAGCATTGTCAAACGAGGGATGATGACCAAACATCGCTTGATTGTAACCATAATTAGCTGTAGGGTATTGCCACCCTTGTGACCCTAAGTGGTGATATCCATATCCTGCATATTGTTCCATTCCACCCGCATGGTGCATTCCACCCGCATGGTGCAATGTGTCATCTAAATTGTTTTTTTGTGAGGATTCATTTGAGAGAATAAAGGTTGATAAAATATTTTATTCATTTTACTACCCTACCATTGTGGGCATGGCCAGCATTGTTTGATGAATGTCCATAATTATTCGTGTCATGCGAAGGTCCTAAATTAAGATTTTTAATCTATATCATTTTAATTGTTGAATGAGGTTTGCAATATGTAATCGAAGCAAGTAGATAAATTGTTGTAAAATGATATTTGTGTCATCAAAGCATTCAAATCTTACCTCTTTCAACAGGCATACTTGGAAATTTTTTCAATTTCGGTTGAGCTCGTTTCTGCGTCGGAACTTGTTGAGCCCTTAAAATTATTCAAATAAAGGGATAAAAACGTTTAACATAAAAAGTATTTATGTAATACATTTATTCAAATTTAACGTTATTCTAATTTTTATTTCCATAAGTGATACATACGGATCCGGAAACATTATTTTTAATTTCTGTAATTTTTTACTAATTTTTGCAAACTTAGTAAATTTAGATAGTATAAATTAATATCAAATTAAACTTACTTTCCATGTTTTGCTTGATGTCTTCCTGGCATGGGAGGTTTACTGCTACTTTGTGTGTTAGGACTACTTCCGGGGCTGCTACTTGCCTCATCAAAATTAAGTCTAAACAAACAAAAATTAAATTTAAATTTATACATATAGTAAATATTAGACTCTGTATATATACTATAAGGATCTAAAGTAATATCCATACCCGAAATTTTATATTCAAGAGGCAGAAACCTTCTGGTTTATAAAAATATTTTAAAACATACTATCTCAGATTTGAAACATACCCTCCCCCACTGACGGAACAACCTCCCCCGCTGATGGAACAACCACAGTCTCTAATATAACCACACAAAATTGGAGGGTTGAAAAATAGAACCACTGTGGTTATATTAGAATAAATACGGTATCTCAAAAATAACATATTAAACATACTTTACTCCTTGTCCATGCTTAGCCGCATAATTAGGTCTCTCTGTTTCACTTTCACTTCCATCCTCATCATTCAAATTCAGACCTGCGAAATTAGTAGAAACATATGTTGGATGCTCTGGAGTTTCATATCCATATTCTGGAACATGGCTTGAAGAAGTACTCTCATTATGCAAATTATTTGGAACGACAAGTTGCACAAAATTCAAATTTATACTCATATCTTGTTCATGCTGCGCAAAATCAAATGTGTAGGTAAATCCAAGCCCATTTCCATTCTTTAAAAGTTACAAATTTTCACTCTGAATAAAAGCATACCTGTAGAATAGGATTTCGAATTGTACGCTCTAATAAGGGAAGATTAAACTTTTTTATTGATGGTGAATGGTAGACACTGAAATTATTAAAATATTTTTTTAAATTTTTAAGGTTTGTGAAAGCATTTTAAACTCCAATAGATTAGCCGAAATAGTTTAAACCGCATTAGGTTTTCTTTAGGTTTATATATTCAGTTGGTGATTTAATAATGTATAGGGTTTGGGCGCGATCCGGCACGGTCCGAAAGATCGGGTCAGGCATTGACCTTAGGCTTGACCTTTGGCTCGAAAATATACCAAAATTATGCCGTCACCAAATATGTAAGTAAAATTTTACTCTTTATTATTCATGTAGATCTTTTTGCATTTATTGCATGTGTAATGCTTCTAAAATAATTATTTAAAAAATTTAAATTAATATATTCTATACATCATAATTAATCTTGTAGACCACTTCCTTAGCAAAAGGATCGGCTTTATCGTGAGCGTAATAACCACATTTAACCTTCTAAATATATAAATTTTAGGTATATGCTTTATTAAATTTTTAGTGAATTATCATAATAATTTTTTCTGAAATTAAAAAAATTATAATGCGCTTAAAAATAATTATTAAAAAAAATTTATGAATAAAATATCACCATATAAATGCGGACTTTCAACTCTGGATTAGCGTGTTCTGTAATGAAATTTTCAATTGCGCTAGGTTGGCTGCGGCTTGTTGTCAAAGATTTGCCGCTTTTTTGTCGTAATAAATTTTTTGAGGATGATAGTGGAGATAAAAGCTTCTTCATTGGTGACGATTTAGAACTCTTCCCCATCAAATCAAGTTGAATTAGTTGAGAATCATAAAATTGTTCATAGGTCAATTCAATCTCTTCTTTGAATCCAGAAATGGATGCAAAATATTTTTTAAACTCTTCAGGAATTTGCTGAACTTGGTCGGCATTTATTGTCTGAAATTGTTAAATGTTTTTATATAATGTCTCCGTGAACTATTTAACATGGTGTATCTAGGAACAGAGGCTTTAGAAGAGCATATTTTAATATACAACTTGAATTTCTCCTCCTTAATCATCAATCTACAAAAATCAAACCTGAATGTCAAGATATAAGCCGTTGTTCCCAACAGGCTTATATTGCCCAAAATTGAATTGATGCACTTTGCTGAAATCGTAAAAATTTCCAGACCTTGGATTTTTTGGATTTGGATAGAGTGTCCATGTTTGCGACTTTAATGAAATATTTTATTAAAATTAAGTTAATTATATAATTTTATCTTTGCTATTAAACTAAGCTAATACCCGAATGTGTCCTTCGATTTCTCTGTTTGATTGAATGGAAACTTCAATTTTGTAACTTTTGGACTTCTTTTTATTTGGATTGAGCTCGAATGTAATATAGCCTCCTTGTTGAGTTTGAACCTTTATTAAAAAAATTGATTCATAAAATTATATTATGTATAATAGAGAAAGAGTTTGCAAAAGTTTAGCCACCGGGCAGGATTCGAACCTGCGACCACCTGCTAGTTGTTGCTAGGCGTTTTAGCTCACTACAAGCAGTAGCTCTACCTCTGAGCTACCGGGGCATCGACTAATGCTTTCTCTTTTTTCTTTTTAGATCTTTTAACCCCCGTCTAAGCGTTTTAAATGCTGCTAGGTGGATCATCCTTACAATAGTTTAGATTTTAAAAGTTAGTGATACTTACTTTTACGGGCTCATCAACTTCAAAATACTTGGATGTCACTTTGACTTCCCAGAAATAATTTGATGGTAACACTTGGACTTTGAAGTCAATTCCAACGACAATTTTAAACATGCATTGAATGACAATGCAGAATGAAATTAAAGATAATTTCATTCCAATTTTTTTTGGGAAATGTTCCAGTTAAGGATTTGAAAAGTTTTCTGAAATTGAACTTGTAAACAAACAATCTTAAAATTTTATAGAAAAAAAAGTTTGATAAGTCTAATTCGAAGGTCCTAAATGAGGTTAATTCTCATTCAAACTTATAGAGTAGTCCAAGACTAAATTTAAAAACTCGAGACAGAAATTTTAAGATGTTTAGAAGGACAATAAGTAATATTTCTTCCTTCTTTAGCGCCGCAAGCGAAAATTTTCATAGTTTTGGAGACATTTGAAATGGCAAAAAGTCTCGAGTTTCAAGTCTTAAGTCAGGACTCAAGACCAAGAGCCTTGGATAGCTCTAGCTATTATTATTACCAAGTGACCAAGAGAGAGACTTCTTGGGCATAAGAGAGACTTCTTGGGCTTCTACCAAGAGACTTCTTGGACATAAAAACAGTAGGAAAATTTAAGTTTATCTATACTTGATGTATATGAAAGTCAGGTCCTACTTTATATTATAAGGATTTGTAGCTATAAATAAAACTTAAGAAAAATTCTAAAAGTAATTGAGAAATGCTATCTTTCTAGCTAAAACGGACTTCTATTTAAGGAGCTCCATTCACGCTGTCGAATCCACCCACTTACGACCGCGTCAATAGCAAGCCACTCCCTTGACAGCTCCCAAGAGAGGAGGAATGGGAGAGATGTTAGCTTGGCCCAGCGATGCGTTAAGCCTTTTGCCAAATTCTTCTTTACTTCTCTAATGCTCTCTTATCCAATTGAAGTAAAGTCAAATCTCTATAAATAATCCCTTAAAATACATTAACATTGAGGTGGGGGTGTTTCGAAACTTCGATTTTCGAGTTTAATTCATTTCAAATGCATAATTTATTTTCTATTAAGTTATTTTAAAGTTTATCTTGTTTCAAGGCAGCTCTAATATAGAGAGTTATTATTGGCCTGAACTTTATTTTTTTATTATTGGCCTGAATTTTATTAATTAAAATAATTATGACAAAAACTAAAGTAAACACATAATATATTTTCTAAATTAATTTATGATAGAAAGTAGGGTTGGACAAAACCGCTTAATTTTGAAAAAACCGTATACCGTTTATGCCGTCTATCTAAGACCCGTATGCCGTTTCGTTTATTTTTGAAGACCCCGTTTAAACGTCCGTTTACCGTTTAGTTCAACCCTAATAGAAGGGTTAAACAGACAATTTTAATATACCTAGATGATTTTTAAAAACATAAAGGCGAAATAGATTTAAAAGATTAAAAATCAAAACAACAAACAAAGCGGTTCGAATTTTCGATCTCGAGCTGTTAATATCTCCCCCAATCAATTTGGATTGTCAACAGCAAGTGTTACTCTCTCTAATTTTAAATTTCTTTCTCTAATGCCATCTGACGGGCAATTGAAAAAAATTTTCTATTGATTATTCAATTTAATAGAGAGGTAAATTGATTTTTAAAAATTAAATTTTATAAAATTAAATAAAAATTTTAAATAAAACTCCTTTAAATGGAATTATAGTTATTTGGAACCTTAATCCTTGTAAGAGTTCGGGCTCCCGCAGAATCCGTCAGTGGATAATCTGTCAGAAGATTCACTGAGAATTTGCATGTTATTCTCTTTGTAGTGTTTGTTTTTGAATTTGAAATTACTTCTATTTTAAACTTGTAAAAATGACATTTAATTATAAACAAGAAAATTTGAAAAAGAAAATACTCCCAAAAATTTTATAAAAATCAAAATTTAAAAAATCAAAACTTTTAGATAAACTTTAAAAAATAAAACATTTAATGATAAAACCCAATCTTTTCAAAGTTAAAAATAACGTAGAATACCGTATTTGCTCAAATAATTGGGACGACGACTTATGCTTCCTCTTTTATCCTTCTAGATCGTTAGACACCGCATAAGCGTTTAAATGCTCTAGGTGAATCGTCCTTACAATAATTACCCAGTGTAATTCTTCAAGCATATACGGTAACGTTGTCGGTTCATTGAAAATCATCGAATTTCAGGAACAGAAATGAAATTTTCCCTATTTTTCTTTCCGATTCTGCTCCGAACCGACAACACCAATGTGAATATAAAATTTTTAAAATAAATGTTTTACATGATACCAAAAAACTTCAGTTTCTTTAAGAGAAACAAATCCATCGAAACATTGCGAAGGGATGCAAAAGTGGGATTAATGTTAGTAGAGGTTTGGTTTTAAAGTTAACTGTTTGTAAAGACAGTTTCGAACAAAAACGGTTTGAATATCCTGAACAGATAACCTTAGTTTGGCTAATAAAAACGATATATGCTGTCGTTAAAGTTAGGAATTTAGGTACTTTATTAATATCCAATCCTCACCCTATTTCAGTCTCGGTTTAATTTTCCTTTTTTTTACTGTCAATCATTTTTTCCTACAAAAATTACTGGTAAAAGGCAAGTATTAGGAAGGAATCTGAAACTCAAATACGGGGTGGAATATTAATAAAGACCGGAATTTGAGCCAGATCGGCATAATAGAAATAAAGTTTACCTAAGAATCACTGAAATCAAATAGAACTCAATATTAGTGATTCAGGGTAAGACGATATTTCTATTGATAAAAAAATCCGTAAATAAAACAAATTGTCCCAAAATCATCCTCAAAAGATTTCCAAAACACTAGCTTTTTTTACATTAACGACTTCCACCACGAATCTTTGCTATCATCATGGTTATCAGCAATGTTTCCGTATTGATCAGGCATTGGATAAATTGAAGGTGTTCCACCTATTTTTATACATATTATTAGAGTTTTTTGCCAATACATGAAAGTATAATAAGCAGTAATACCTCCAATATGATCCGAATGAACAGGGAAGGCATTAACACCATAGTTGCCACTATGATTACCTCCATGGGTGTAACTATAGTTGCTGCCAAAGTTACTGCCAAAGTTACCACTATAAGCAACACCATTGTTGCTGCTATAGTTTCCACCATTGTTGCCACCATAATTTCCATCATGGCCTACAGAATAGCTGACACCATTGTTAGTAACATAGTTTCCACGATGGCTTCCGCCATAGTTTCCATAATGGTTTCCAGCATAGTTACCATCATGGATTCCAGCATAGTCTGCACTATTGTTGCCACTATAGTGGCCAAAACTTTCATTGTTGTGTTCCACTGGCTCTTCAATTATTTGGTTTCTCGAATTCATGCTATCGCTTCCAATACCAAACAACGAATTAGTATAGCTACTACTTTCATAATCTAAAATTATAATTTATTATTAAACTTAAAAAGGGTTTAACTATTTATTTAACATTTTCTACCATAGCTAATCGAAATATTCTAAATTAACTAGCTACATAAACTAAATAGCCAAACAAAATAAACATTAGACCTACCGGAACTATCTGATCCATAATTATGTTGTAGATTTAATGGATGTCTTCCAGTGTACTCGCCTCCATTTTGGTTGTTAAAAGACATAGATTCACTTCTACCAAATGTTTTGTGGTCTCCAAAGTTTCCATACACAGTAGGATTGTAAAACGATGGATGATGACCATACATCGCAGGATTGTAACAATCTTTTGCACCTGAGTGATATCCATATCCTGAATATTGGTCCATTCCACCACTCATTGGACCTGAATGGCTTGAGCCACCATGTTGCATTTCAGATCCTAGAAAGTTATTTAAAATCGTTGATAAATTTATGTATCCTACCATAATGGGTATGTTCAGCATTATGTGACGAATGATCACTAGTAGTTGCCCCATGTTCGGATCCTAAATTACCTAAGCTTTTTTATTTATTTAAACTGTAAAATGAGATTCGCTGTAATCGAATCCATAGGATCCTACCTCTTGGAACAGGCATGCTCGAAACCTTATTTAATTGTCGCCGAGGTTTTTGAGCGTTGGCCGAATCTGGATGTTCCCTGTAAATTATTTAAATATAAGTTAACATAGTTTAGAAATTAATTTAAAATGTTCTGTGTCCACTTATTTCGTAAAAGATTCAATTAAACATACATTCCACGATTCATTTTATGATTTCCCTTTGGAGGTTTACTCGACTTCTTTTTCTTTCCACTACTGCCAGAGCTGGTGCTTTCCTCGTCAAAATTCAGCCTAAAACACAAAATGAAATATATATTTAGATATTGTACAAATTGGAATATGTAATATTAAGTACCATAACGAAAAGTTTATAATTCCGAGGCAATTAACCTCTGTTATTTAAAAATATACTTGTAATATATTTAACAAAATATATTAAACAAACTTTGTTCCTTTTCCTCCAAGCTTAGCCGCATAATTAGGTCTCTCTGTGTCACTTTCACTTCCATCCTCATCATCTCTCAAATTCAGATTTTGGAAATCGGTAGATACATTTGTAGGATGTGTCGGAGTTTGAAAACTATCCTCAGTAACGTGGCTTGAAGTACTTTCATGGCTTGAAGAAGTGCTTTCATTATGAAAATTATTTGGAGTAAGCTTGACAAGTTGCACAAAATTTAAATTTATTTTCATATCTTGTTCTTTCGAAAAATCAAATTCGTACGTAAATCCAGGTCCATTTCCATTCTTTAAAAGTTACAAATTTTCATTCTAAATAAAAGAAACCTGAAGAATTGGATTTTGAATTGTACGCTTTAATGAGGGAAGTTTAAACGTTTCTTTTGTTAGTGAAGTGTAAACATTATGGTCTCTAAAATATTTTTTTAATTATAAAACTACTATCAAACATTAATGGGAAAGTTCCAAAATTTCTCTGGAACTAGTTCCAGTTCCAGAACTAGGTTTTTAATTTTTGTAGTTCCAGTTCCGGAACTCCATTTTTGAAATTCCTTAGTTCCAGTTCTGGAACTAGTTCCAAGCTAGTTCCAGGCATTTAATAGTTCCGTAGTTCTTGTTCCAAACTAGTTCCAGTTCTGGAACTAGTTCCAAGCTAGTTCCAGGCATTTAATAGTTCCGTAGTTCTTGTTCCAAACTAGTTCCAGTTCTGGAACTAGTTCCAAGCAAGTTCCAGGCATTTAATAGTTCCGTAGTTCTTGTTCCAAACTAGTTCCAGTTCTGGAACTAGTTCCAAGCTAGTTCCAGGCATTTACTAGTTCCGTTGTTCTTGTTCCAAACTAGTTCCAGATAATCGTTAGTTCCGTAGTTTTAGTTCTGGAACTAGAACTAATTAGTTCTGGAACTGGAACTTTGACATCAATACTATCAAAAATAATATTAAAATTTTACTTTACACCATCCACATGTCTATCTTTGCATGATTTACAATGATAATAGCTCTAAAATGATAATTAACTAAAAACTAAAATTAAAAATTTATACATTTTTATCAATTCTGTAGACCACATCCTCAGCATAGGGCTCAGCTTTATCGTGCTCGAAATAACCACATTTAACCTTCTAAATATATTAATGATAATAAATTCTCAGAAACCAAGAGAAGACCCTCAAATCCATCTATATCCATCTTAATTCCTTTAAATCTCCAAACATCCTCAGAATCAAAAATTTATTCAACAAATCCAATGATATTTGGGGATTAAGAGGGATAAGTTTAAATCTTATGATCTTTGTTTTTCTAGTAAAGATTGCCGTTTAGATGAGGATTTTAGGTTATCCGAGAAATATAACTGGCTAAATCCAACAATGCTTATTAATAAATAATTAAAATTAAAGTATAATTGAAAATAAGTTACCATATATATGCGGACTGTTAGCTTTGGATTTTTGTGATTTTCAATGTATTTTTCAATTGCACTAGGATTTTTGCTGCTTGATTTCAAAGATTTGCTGCTGCTTGATCGAACGAAAATTTTTGAGGATGGAGACAGCGAAGACAACGTCTTCAGTAGTTTGGGTTTTGATGTCTTCCCCATCAAATCAAGTCGAATTAGTTCGGCACCATAAAACTGTTCACGGCTCAATTCAATCTCTTCATTGAATCCAGAAATGGATGCAAAATATTTTTTATAATCATCAGAAATTTTTGCAACTGATTTGACATCTTTTATCTGGGCTTTTTCTTCCTCGGTAATTTCTGCATTGTCATTAGTTTTTTGGGCTTTTGCCAAAATAGCCGTAACAAAAGCACCGTAGTTCGACTAAAATTATAATAGTGAAAGCAAAGTTGCCCTATCGGAAAGGAGTGCCTGCGGAGTTTTTTCCTTACTTCCTTAGACATTCTCGGAATGTTGAATTTTCCTTTATAGCTTAGAATAATATAAAGTTTGGAATCCCCCGCTTAGATTTTCTCCCATTTCCGGACAAGTGATTTCCAGCGCTTTCTAACCAAATACAACAAAATATACGGACCTGAATTTCTAAGAAAAAATTCTGCCCTTCAGCTTTGAATTGTCCAAAATTGAATTGGTGTAGTTTACCAAAATCAAAAAAATTCCCTTCTTCGGTTTTAAAGCGTACATCTTTGAGAGTCCATTCTTGAGACTACAAAAACAATTTAAAAAATATAGATAATTATGTAAGTAGTTCAAAATAATACCCGGATCTGGCCTTTAATTACATCAGCAGACTTGATAGTTACTTTTAGTTGCTTGATTTTGTTGCTGTAGCTGCTGACCTCGAACGTTAGATAATCCGATCCATTTGTCTTCTAATTTGCTTTGATTTATTTTTAGAAATATATTTAGATACCTGGGGATTTATATAATGACAACCCTTGCAGCTAACAGAAACATTCCAAGAATACTCAGCTGGTAGAACTTGGACATGGAACTTGTAGCCTTCCACTCCAACATTATATAGCAGAGCACAAAATAAAATGTACAAGCATTTTATTGCAAAATATGAAGCAGAATTTTGCTTCATATTAGTCGGATGCTTTTGTTTAAAGACAAACTTTTCAGAAATGATCCTTTTAAGACTTTGTAAAGGTTCCTGTTTAAATTGAACTCGTCTAAACAAACAATTTAAAAAAGGTTTTGTAATAAACTATAGAGTTTGATGTCTAAATCGAATGCAAAATAAGGTGGTGAGCGATAAAAAACCTTGCTTCTGTAAAGCATATGTAGCTGTTAATTTCCTAAGGCTGTGCAGTAGGCGGCGTGGTGTAATGGCCAACACATCAGTCCGGTCTACTGAAGATGCTGGTCCGCTCCCAGCCGCCGAATAACCTTTCGCTCTAGCTAAAGGGGAGAAATAGCTATAGCCCAGCTGCTTTACTCTTCGAAGAGCTCTTATTTTTAGAATATATTCAATTTAGAAGTAGTTCGACGAGTTTACTACACACAAACCTCCAGTTTGTACACCCTGGGGCAGAAAAATTTTAAAAAGATTCAATGTTCTATTATTGGATGTATATAAAGGCAAGGTCCGATACACTCAAAGATTTGTGGATATGAAGCAAATTAAGAAAATTTTAAAAGAAATTGAGAAATGCTGAGTATATGGCATTACTGGACCGCTATTTATGCTAACACATTCCCATAGACGAGTCCGCCCACGTGCGACTGCGCATTACCTGACTGCTATAATGCCATGGACTTGACAGCTTTCCAAGACGAATGCCCGTCGCCTAGAAAATTCCTGTCGCCTGAGCCATACGCTGACTTCACACATAAGGAAATGTCAGCATGGCTCAGCGATTTGCCATTGCTTTTGCCAAATTTCTTTACTTCTCTAATGCTCTCTTATACAATAAATGCAAGATTAAATCACTATTAATCATGCTGGAAATTTTGGCTCTGAAACTGATCTTTTAGCTCAAAATGCTTCAAGTTAAAAATTTTTTAAAGTAATTCTGATTCGACACTTGAAGTTTTTCTTGTTTCTAAGTAGCTTTAATTTAACTCGTTGAGCCTGTGTATTGCTCAAGTTGATGGAAGTGGTTTGGAAGGTCTCTTTATCTTGGGTCTCTCGGTCTATTTCTATGTTTTTAATTAAAATATGCTATCTGAAACTGTAGCAAACCTTCTAATAAATTTTCTCATTAATTAACGATGGAAATGTTTAACCAAACAATTGCAATAAAAGTATAAACCAATTTCTAAAAATCGTTTCGTTAACAAACTAGACGATATAGAAGAATATTGGCTATTTTACTAATTAATCATCAAAAATCAACAACCATAGAAGCAAAATAAGTTTAGAAGATTAAAAATCAAAACATCAAAACTAAGAGTTTCGCTGTTCGATCTCGAGCTGTCAATATTTTCCCCAATCAATTTTCATTGACAAAAGCGCGTGTTACTCTCTCTAATTTTAAATTTCTTTCTCTAATGCCATCTGACGGAAATTGAAAAAAAATTTTCTATTGATTTTGTAATTTAATAGAGAGGTAAATTGATTTGAAAATGCGAATAAAATAAAATAAAATTTAATAAAATTTTAAACAAAACTCCTCTAAATGGAGTTCAGGCCCCTGAACAATCTGTCAGTGACAAAATTCTACCGCTAATGTAGGGGATTAATGAGATATCGGAATTAATAAAGCGACATCGGAATTAAGTGATCTTGTTGCATCAAGACCTAGCTCTGTGGAGTGTAGGCGAGGAGCTTCTCCAAAACCCGCGCTCCGCGCTGGGCTTTGCCGCACGTCCCTCGCGGGAGTCTACGGTCGCCGAGTTCTACAACATTAACATAAACCTATACCTTTTCCATTTTCAGCCTTGATCTGACGACCTACCCCCCTCACAAAAACTGATTGGACTCATAAACTATGACAAACAAGTTTACATTAGTTTACTGTTACAATCAGAGACAAGTTCAAAATGCAAAAGAAACAGTGGTACGCCAAGTTCGAGATGCAATTGCGGATTCAACAACTACGAACTACTGGCATGTAGGATGTTTTCTGGGATGTGTTTTGGGATGTTTTCTGGGAAGCAACAAAACATGCGAAGGAAACAGGCGGTCGCGATCTCGAGTTGCCAATATTTTCCAATCAATTTGTATTGTCAACGCGCGTTACCCCCTATTTAAAATTTCTCCCTCTAATGCCATCTGACGGAAATTGAAAAAAAATTTTCTATCGATTTTGTAATTTAATAGAGAGGTAAATTGATTTGAAAATGCGAATTAAATTTATAAAATTAAATAAAATGTTAAATGAATTTTAAATTAATTAAACTCCGCTAAAATATAAGGCGGAATATTCAATTTTGAAAACATTGCTGGTTTACTGTAAACAAAAAATTTGTTGGAAGTATAATTAATGTAGCACTTATTTGGTGATGAGATTTCGCTAGTCTTTTATGACTTTTTACTCTTAGAAGTGATAATATAACAGTTCGAAAAATAAGTCATTTTTGATGATTTAGACAAGTTAGCCCCTTGCAGGGCGTTTGAAAAATGCTAGCCTTTTATGTTGTTTTGACGGGTTAGTAATTCATTAAGATTAGTTGTCACCCTTTATTTTTTGTTTCTATATGAGATTTTGTATAGAGTGAGGTTCAATACAGAAAGAGTTTTGCAAAAGTTTAGCCACCGGGCAGGATTCGAACCTGCTACCTCCCGCTTTCGCTCGCTATATGCAGGAGCTCTACCTCTGAGCTACCGGGGCATCGACTAATGCTTTCTCTTTTTCCTTTTTAGATCGTTTAACTCCCGCCTAAGCGTTTTAAATTCTGCTGGGTGAATCATCCTTACAATACCTGTTAATTTTGAAACTTGTTAATTATGAGAATCGAATTCAACAATTATTAATTTCAAAAGGATTTAGATCTACCTAACAGAAATGTTTTATTAACATTATACCTATATTAATTATCAAAATTAAATCTCAAAATAATTTTTTTGAAATACTTTCTGTGAATGTTTTCAAAACGGAATGTTTCAAACAAACAATTAAGAGTTTCAAAATACCGTGTATCTTTCTAAAATTTATCGTCTACTGGGTTAACAAAGGCACCTTAAACGGCGCAGAATTATAACATGAAAATATGTTAAAATATGTAAAAATTTAAAAATCACTAAATGAAACAGAATTCCTAAAGATAAAATAAAAACACCTAAAAGAAATAAAATCCCGAAATAAAAAAGACTAATGAAATAAAAACTTTTCTCAAATTTCTTGAATTCCCAAAATTTTCTTGAATCAGCCTAATCAATTTTTTGAACCCATTTCCCATCAATCATATGGTAACTATATGAAGGTTCACGTTCTGCAGGTGGTTGATAACCTTGCGGATAATAAACTACATTTGGTGTATCAGCATCTGTATAAGTTGCCTCATTGGTTGATGTTTGTGGAACATTGTGCACAGAACCATGCTGAGCGTTTAATCCTTGATGATATGATGGATGTGGATAATGATGTGGAGGGTATTGAGGTGTATATGTATAGGGTGGAGGGTATTGATATCCTTGAAAATGTTGATTATCTCCATACATTTGATGACCTCCATATAGTTCTTGACCTGGGAAGAGATGATTGTAAACCGGAAGATTCCCATGAACTCCTTGCTGAAATGATTGTGGCTGAAACGTATGTGGAATTGATCCAGGCTGAAATGGTTGTGGGAATGATCCAGTCATCGATTGTTGTGGGAATAAAGGCGGAATATTGCCTGAGCCTTGAATGCCGGACCAATTGCTTTGATCAGAACTTGTCCCTTGAATGCCGTCGAAGCTCTGGCTTCCAACACCAGTAAGTGTATGGGTATTTGCTTGACCATTATCACTATCTAAAATTTTATATGTAATTTATTAACATAATATACATTTAACCTTCTTCACCATCATTATCCTCAACTGGATTACTTCTATGCATTGGCATACTAGAGTTTCTTCGAAAATTTTTCTTCGCTTTAGCGGAATTATTTTTTCTCTGTAAATCTTCAATTCCGGAATTTCTACCCTGACGACTGGAACTCGGAATATCGACACTGGCTCGATGAGGAGTTTGTCGGCCTCTATAATTATTCAGTATTCATAGAAAAATTATAAAATACCCGTAATTAAATTAACTCTCTATATAGTGAAAAACGATTCAGATTCGATATCACTAAATAGAGTAGCTATATAATAAAATTACGTACACTCCTTGTCTTTCCATTGGTCTTTGTGCATTAGATTTTCTAGGTCGAGGGATGTTACTAGGTGCACTACTTTCATGCTGGTCATCAATATCGTCAAAATTCAGCCTAAATATTTTTGTTAAATTGCTTTTTCTAAAATAAGAATCACTTTAGCCCTTCAAATCCTGCAAAACTCTTTCTAGACTTAGTTCCACCAGTTGTGGAGCTTTCAGCTTCTTCCAAATTTAAATGCGCAAAATTAGTCAGCAAATTCATTGGCGTTCGAAATCCTTCTTCCATAGAACCAGAAAAGTCTGCCAGCTGTACGAAATTTATGTTTGTTTTTTTATCCTGCACCTTCATAAAATCAAAGATGTAGGTAAATTCCTGACCAGTGCCATTCTAAGGTTTAGGTATTTTACAATTTAGTCTTTTCAATGGAACTAACCTGCAAAACTGGGTTAGCAATTTTGCGGCAAAGTTTTGGAAGAGGTATTTCTACCTTGTCCATTCTATTAAAAAATTAGTTTTAGAAAAAAACTGAAAAACTACTAACCTCCAGTCACTATCATCTTGCATTGAATGAAAGCATTTAGAGCAAGTATTACTTCCTGACTAAAATTTAAAAATTAAAAAAAATAAAATCAGATATACATACATTTAGCAGGTATATTTCATTGAAATATTTATCAACTTTACAAAAGTGACATTTAATTCTCTAAATTTAAAAAATTATTTTAATAATTTGAAAATTTTAAATAATAGATACTAAGTAACCTTCTCAATACAAACATCTAATACAGGGATTTCCTTGGATTGAATAAATTCTTCTATGCTTGACAAAGTTTGCTGGGTTTCAGTTGCACGGGGAGATTCTGCTTTGCCAGGCGAATTTAACGACATTTTTTCATTAAACGATTGAGATTTGCCGAATACAGCTTTGAGTTTAGACGGAGTAGACGCCAAATTTGAAAGGCTCCTCATAAAAGGCTTTTTTGACTCAGTTTTGTCTTTTTTTGACTCGGTTTTGTCAAAAGATTTTGATTTACTGAATGGTGATTTGCCTCCACGCGGACTCGTACGCGGACTCGTAACCAATTTTGTTACTGTTTTTATGATAGAACTTTTAGCTTCTTTAGCTAAACTCAATTGAAAAATTCTACTGTTTAAATCATCATTGTCTATTACTATCTCTTCTTCGTATAATGGTTTCGATGAAAATTGGGATAAAAAGCCATCTTGTGTTTTTACGATTGCAAAATACTTTTCTCTTTTACCTTTATCTTCTGCGTTATTTAACTGAAAAATTATTACAAAATTATTTTCAAGTTATAAATATGGATGGGAAAAACATGCAAATGCTTATTTTGTATGCGGATATGTCTTGAGGTAGGAAGCAGGGATGTGCCGAGCACTTTCGCCTTTTTTTTTGTTTTGCCTTTTTTGGCATTTTATCTTTCGTCTTTCGCTTTTAAAATTAACTGATAAAGTCCGGCCCTGCGTTTTTCACAATTTAAAAAAAGTTTCGTGTTTTTGTCTTTTGTCTTTCGCTTTTTACAGGAGACTTTCGCCTTTTCGCCTTTCGCCAAAAAGGCGAAAGTCTCTTGTAAAAAACGAAAGACAAAAACACGAAACTTTTTTTAAATTGTGAAAAACGCATGGCCGGACTTTATCAGTTAATTTTAAAAGCGAAAAACGAAAGATAAAATGCCAAAAAAGGCGAAAATTCGGCGAAAGGCGAAAGTGCTTGGCACATGCCTGGTAGGAAGGCAAAAATGGTGTTTTTATATTATCCGAACAATTTAGGACCGGCTATTGATGCATATTTTTGCATATTTCGGCATTCTCATGCATATTTGCGCATTTTTTAGCAAATTTTAGTAAGTAAAAGTTGGCGAAAATTTCAAAATCTTGAAATTTTTTGGTAAAAAAATTTTATATAAAAATATTTTTTGATAAAATTTTGTACTTTTTCGGTGCATATCTATGCGCATATTTGGCGATTTTGCTTGCATATTTTCCCTTCCATAATTATAAATAATTTATAAATCTGACTTGAATGTTTAAATATAAATCATTTCCTTCCATGCGGATGTATTGTCCAAAATGGAATTGGTGCACTTTGGTGAAATCAAACACATTTACTTCATATTCTACTGTTTTCCCAGTTTTTCTGGATGTCTTCGTCTTGTAGCGTCCTTTTTCGACCGGGTACAGAGTCCATGTTTGAGACTTTTAAATTAATTATTTAAATATAATAATTAACAAATTATTAATATAGGTAAGCCTTTCAAATAAAAATCTCTTCCATAAAATCTTTAAAGAGATTGAACAGACTCTTCCAGCAAGGAAAATGGCAAAAGCTATGATAAATTTGCTTATCAACTAGGGGAAACTTCGACAAAAGACAAAATAACCCTAATTAAATTTGTTTCTCGACAATGTTCTAGAAAACTCTATTTCGCGATTGTAAGAGTCGTCCAATCTCTTAAAACAATCGCAGAATTTCCATGGGTGAGACCATTAAAAGGCAAATTAAATTTACCCGTCTATGACCCAAAATTTCCTGACCAGAAGTTATCTCCACAATTAAACTGTTGATCGGTTCATTTTGATCAAGGTCGAATTTTAGAATGCCTCCATTTGTAAGCTTAAAAACGTTTATAAAGTAGTAATTTTTATTGTTTGAATTTTTAATCGTATTTTTGAGCTTTAAGCCTCGCCTTTATAGGAAACTTAAATACCGTATTTTCTTGATTAATTCCCCCTCTCGATTATTTCCCCATGCTAGAGATGGGTAGAAACAATAATTCTCTGACCCAAATATACTAAAGCACGTTCAAATGCCAAAACTCAAATAATTGCCCTCCTTTGATTAATTCCCCATGCCAAGGACGGGCTGAAAAAATAATTTTCTAAGGAGCTTTCGCGCTATGACTTACTTTCCTTTTAAATAATATGTATTTTATTCCTATTAATCCTATTATTCTATTCCTATCAACTTAAATTACCTGACTAATAGCATGGCTATCATCAGCAGAATATTTAATCGAAACGGCCCAAATATATCCCTCAGGAAATACTTGGACATTGAATATTTTTTGCTCCCCTTCAACAAGTTTAATAAACAAGTATTGAAGGATAAATAATAGAAGAACCATGTAGCTCTTCGAAGGGATTCAAGCTTTTTTTCTTTTAAAGTTTTTTTTTAATTTTTAAATGAATTTAATGGCAATAAAGTAAATAAGCCTGCTGTATTTATGCTATAAAATTTTTCAAAGGGGCTTTACGAAAAGGGCGGATAGACGTTAATTCACTTTAAATAAATCTTTCCCCATAGGTAAATTTCTCTCTCAACATTAGGAAGTCTCTCATTTAAATGGAGAGAGGGTTATGAAATGCATTGAGGGCTAGTGAAGGGGAGGGGGGGGGGGAAGGAGGGATGGCAGGCAATTTTGCTTACATGTATTTTGAAATTTTTCTTTAACGTCTTAACGTCTTCCCCTAAAGATTTTGCCTTAGGTTGCGCCTTGGTAATCCGTCTAGCGATACACGTGAATCAGGCGTTGTTGTAGATTCTTGTTTACATACGTGGCAAATTGGGCATTGATTATTTCTCTCAACATCTCTTTTAGATGGAGAGAGGGTTATAGCATTGAGGGCCTAGTGGATGGAGAGAGGGGAGAGGGGGCCTAGTGGATGGAGAGAGGGGAGAGGGGGCCTAGTGGAGGTTTGGCAAAAAATTTTGTCTAACCTCCACTGTATAACTTTCAAATTTTTCTCTGCCGTCTTAACTTAAAGATTTTTGCCTTGAGATGAGCCTTGTGAATCCGTCAGGCGATACACGTGAATCGGCTGTTATTGTATATTCATGTTTACATACGTTGCAATATGGGCTTTGATTATTTATATTTATTTATAAAAACAAAGATACAAAAGTCTATAAGCTTTTAAGAAGCCGAATACAATCTTAAAGTTAAATTTTAATATAATTTTAAATTTTTGTATAAAACAAGGTTGTAATTTGCCCTCCAACATGTTGTCGGGCTTTGTCAACCTCGCCACTGTTATGTCCGGGGATTTGTCCAAGCTTTGTCAAGTCAACTCGTTCTAAATCCACAGATATTCGTGTAGGATATTACTAAAATTTACACGGATTTGAAAAGATACGGATATCGACATCACGGATATATTCGGATAAGGAAAGCATAATCCGAGTTCATGAACATTATTTTTGCTGTGGATTCTTGCTGTCCAACTTGCTGTGGAAAAATTCGTTGGATGGGAGATTGAATAGAACCATCATGGAAAGGGCCCAAACCGAGGCACAACCGATTGCGCCACCATCCAATGCGATATTTGATTATTTATTTTCGATTATGTTCTTTCTGCATGTGCGGACACAACTTACATATCTGCTTCTTTCAAAGAATTTAAATCAAAAACATATTTATACGATTATTTTCATCATTATATCCATTTATTAAAATAAAATCTCAAAATATTTTTTAAAATTTATCCATCAGAACACAAGCAAGAACAAATTATTAAATACAAATAACAAATTTTCCATGGCAACAAAAACAAAAAACTGCCTCTCTCGTTAGCTAATTACCATTTTGCGTGAAGCAGAGAATTGCAGGTTGGTTTTGTGTGAGGGAGGAACGTGTGAGTGAAAGAGGATGAAGAAAATCTTTTGAAATTTATTAAAACAAAAATTTTTTTCTTTGTTATTTTATTCATAAACTAACATCATTCTTATGTTTATCCGAAAAAATTTTTTTGTACAAAATAATTCGCATATTTAAAATTTTTATAAAAATTCGCGATTTATCCAAAGAATAAAATGCAAGAAAGGTTGGGAGATCCAGTTAGCTAGCATTAAAACGCTTGCTACACGTGGGTTTAAAATCTGTTAAAAAACATGAAAGTGCTTCTCTATCACATCTGTATTGTCACTGTAGCTCAGTTAGGACTGAAACACTTAGTAATAAACACAGTAGGTTGAAAGTTCGATGCCTTTCCTTGGCTTAACCTTTACCCTTATTTTAATGGAATTAAATCGAGTAAAGTTAATTTTTGTATAGATGAGAAAGTCTAAACTGAAACTTTTTTTAATAATATTCATGGCTATTTAGAAGTTTCAGTCTCTTAAGGAGACATTATCTTTTAAGGAGACGTAAGTTTTATCAAAGTTTCAGCTTCTTATTTTACTGTAAATTCTCCTTGTTTCACGTTTCCCATTCCTTGAAGCATTTCAATTTTCTTGAAGCATTTTCAATTAAGCATTTCAATTTTTTGTCTATTTCATTTTGAATTTTCTTATCCAAACATCCTTAATATAACCTATTAAACAAAACATTTTTTTAAATTTACTCTAATAGACTTCTTATTAAATAATTTTTTTAAAATTCTCTCCCCCTATTATTATTTGACATATGGATTTCTTTATCGATCATTTCAAAAAAATTCAATGGCAATAGCTATATGGCCTTTTTCCCTCTCAAATTTTGAATTTTATTCAATAAAATTTATAACAAATCCCTCATGCTTTTTCCTCTTCTTAAGGTCTCACTATTTTGCCAGAATCTGTGACATTTGCTGTTTCTTGTAGAGGGGGGACCTTGAAGATCCTGGAGGAAAATCATGCTTAATAATATCTAGTTTTTAACTTAAAGCAAAAAAGACTCATTCTTCTCGCAATTTTTGCCTAAGCAATAATTTTAAGGGCTATATTTAAAGATTATATATATATATAATATTATCATTAAAAATTTTTTTATTTCTATTTTCGCTTTAAGAGATTACTGTTATATCCTTAGGGCGCGGCCCAACAAGGTGACTAACAGAATAACACGAGAATAGATTAAGCAAATATATTAGGCAAAAAAATTATTAGGCAAAAATACTAAAAGAAGGCGGCAATGGTTTTCAAAGATACCTGCCAAGACTTTAGCTAAAACCTTCTTTCATAGACAGACATATACCTAACAATTAGGCATAACTTTGATCTTACCGTGAATATTTGTTTTTGGCGGAGTGAGTCAAATTATTAAAACAATCCTTCTGTTAATTGTTATTGTTTGTAATTTTTTCTACTTTTTAAAATTTAAATATAAACTACATAAATTTACGCGCGATGTCAATGCTTCCATGTGACTCTCACTTCAACTCTCGCTGCCAATGAAGAGACCACCTACGCACTCCCCTCTAAATTCCCTCTATTAATGCCAACATAAATTTTTTTATATTTATCAATGCCCTTTTATTATTAATTTTATTAAAGCAATAAACAATTAAAAAATTTTTAACTGGAATCCCCTAAGAAATATGTTGGTTGTTCATAATTAATAAGTTAATATAAGAATTAATATAAGAATTAAGTTAACAATAAGAATCAAGTGGTAAATGTCCAGTTGACTCCCTGGATGACTCCCTGCGCACTACTCTCCCATTGCATTTTGCGTGTCCTTAACCCTGCTTTAATACCGTATAACCGTTATTAATTGCCCTCCCTCGAGTAATTACCCCACTTCCATTAATTACACCATCCGACGATAGATTGAAACAATAATAACCCAAACTAAATGCCTTAAATCACGTTCAAATTTCAAACCTCGTATAATTACCCTCCTACGATTAATTACTCCCTTCAGCGGAAGTTCTAAACAATAATTACCCAGGGTAATTATTAAAGGATATACGGTAATTAAAGTCTAAACTTACAAAATTTAGTCTAGTGTATATTTGATTTTTTAATTGTAAAATAACCATCAACAAAATACAATTTAAAATGACAAATAAAACATCCGAAGGAATTAACAGTAATGATGGCCAGGCTGTGAAGACAGTTGCATCATTTCGCGCAAGCTTCTTTAAACAGTAAACTCATTATGCTTAATCCTATACAATATTAAACTTTAAAGTGTTGGACGTACACAGTCCCTAAGCTCTTCTAAAACATCAGGAAGTGTTGAATCTGATGAAGGTCCTAAGAACGAGCAAGCAAAGGTCAAAAACATTCATGTTTCTGACGTTACGCCTCCGCCTGGTTTTGAAAAGGTTGTACGGAAGGCTTCAAGAAAGCAAGACAAACAGACTATATCTGATGAAGAAAAATGTTTTTCTATGGCCAAGCATAATATCTTAATGAAAACACATAACAATCATCAATCCGCTGGGGATTTAACTCAATACATCAATCCGGATTTATTAATGTTTGTTTTAATATTTGAATTTAACTTAAATGGGGGATCGGGATCCCGGTCGGGATCGGGCAGGATTATCCCGGTTTTTCTAATCCCTATACCTAGGCCTATACCGCTGAATCCTAGATACCTAGACCTATACCGCTGAATCCTAATTGAAATTTATCCTTTCACAAATTCAGTGGCCGCCGTTCTTCTCTCCATCAAACTCCAACAGATCCCCTAGATAAGAAAATACGCCAGAAAGAAGCTTATAAAACAGCAATGTGTCAGGTTATTAATTATTAAGCTACAAGGCTTAATTAAACTTAAAGGCGTGGCTTCAAGGGAGATGTTGCGCATTCGGCGAACAATGTGGTTTTGCTCATGGCGAAGAAGAGTTGCAACCTTTACCGTTTGTAAACTTTGAGAAAGAGAGTTCAATTGCAATTAATTTTAGACCAAACCGGCAAAATCCAAAGTTTAAGACTCGGATTTGTGAAAACTATACTACAACAGGTATATGCCCTTTCGGCAATAGATGCTTCTTTATTCATCCACAACCGAATGCAAGTATTGACGATGTGCTCGAATACAAAGAGGTTTTGTTCAAGCTCTTGATCTTGATCAAAACATTATTTTAGGCACTTGATCAAAGAGCGCGCCAACTCGAAGGAAGGGCTATTATTCAGCATGAGGAAGTCGTGATTCCCCTTAATCAGATTGTTGCCAGTCCGAAAAGTAGTAAAAAGCCAAAACAATTGAGAAAACTGGAAAGTTGTGGAGATGTTAGTTATTAACCATTATTGCTTTAATATTTCTATAGTGGGAGCATTGATGGGTATGGAATAGTAAGAAGCTACTCCTCAGCACGGAGCAAAAATTTTGCTAGATCCGAGCCCGGAGACATGAACCTCCAGATCCATCACTTGTTAGGAGATTAGCCATTGTTTAGCTACCGGGTAGGAAGCGGACATGTAACCTTGTTACTTTCTCAAATTAGTTCACTTATAATCCCCAATGAAGTAAAACAAGGATAAAGCTCGAATTTAGAATATCTAACGATTAAAGATCCAAGTTACCTTCCTAAATTACGGTAATTAATGTAGATAAATTCAACCCTTGTTTAAGTTTTACACTCAATTCCAACTCTCACAAATGCAACAAAGATTGGCACTTGAACAGCAAATTCAAAATGAAGCTCAGGCAATATTTACCGCTGGAGTGTTGGCGCAAACAGCAAAAACGTTGGAGAATAGAGCGATAGAACTTGAAATTAAAAAGCAACAATTGGAACAACAAACTCAAGCAAATTTCGCCAATTATGATAATTTTCCTTTAAATTCACCGACAAATGGAAATTTTGGAATGTTTAGTAAAGGACCAACAAGTCGATTTGCTGGTAAAAATTTAGCTTTTTATCATTCTATTAGAGTGTACCCCGAACGCTCGTGGGCTGGCATGTAAGGGTGCGGTGTTTTCCAAAAGTTTTGTGGTGGAGTATAAATATCAAGGAGGATTAAAGGGATATAATAGAATCTTGAGTGATTAAGGGGGATTTCGAGTATTTAAATTGTATATCTGCGGATATAAGGGGATTTGGAAAATTAAGGGTGGTTTCAAGCTATATCAGTGCAAATGCAACTCTACTTTTTATGAATTTTAGAAAAGCATTAACTCACTATCTTGTAATTTTTAGCCATCAAGAATTCAGCAATATCGGGATCAATGCCGCTAATCCATTCAAATTCTTCCGGCAATTTATTGTACCAACATCCCAATAGCAAGATGAATAATGTAAATTTAATTTAAAATCTATATGAAATATTCCTGGACTACCTAATAATGTTTATTTTCAAAAAAATATACTCTTTTACAGGAGAGATATGCTGATAGTGTTTTTGATCATCCAAAATCGTTCAATTTTAAAAAATCCACAATAATGCCATCTGATATTATGTTTGGAGCGAATGAAGTGCTCGATTTGAGTGATAAGGAATCCTCAGGTAAATTTACGTAATGTTGTATCTAATCCTTCCTCCGGAAGGAATGGGAATGAAATGACTGTCAGTTATGTCCTGCTTGGACCTCATTCCTTAAAATCGTAAAATAGTGGTTAACTTTACTTAACAAATATTATAAAATCCACATAAATGTAGGTAGCTTTCCTGTTGTGTAAACATATTTTCATGTTTTTGGTTAGCTTATTCAAGCTTCCGCTTTATTTTTATCATTTATTATAGTCCTATTTTTTGCTTTTTAATACGCTCTATTTTTTCAGGACCTCACACACCCCCCGGCTTTTACCAAAATCATATTGTTCCAAAATGCTGTCTTGGCAACCAATGGGGATCGTTAACCTCTTCACACCATAATCATGAAAATTCTATGTGGCCGTCTACTGTCGACTCCCCAGAATTGAAGACAAATCAGCATAAAGAAGTCCTGCCCTCATTCAGTTTGTTTGGACCAGAAAATTTTAATAATAGTGTTAGTGGAAGCGGTGGAGATTTATTAAATATTTGTGGTTCAAAAAATATGTTAAATGGAAGTTATTGTAGTAGCGGGAAACGATCACCTATTATGGGGGAATTTATGAACGGGTTGTTGTCAGGAAGACGTTCATCTCATACGCCTTTATTGGATGAAGGTGGGGGAGAATCTGCTCAGGCAATGTTAGATATGTTATTAGAACCTGGAAGTATTCAAAAGGTTAATAATCATAGAGCAAATCGTTCAGTTGAAGTTTTATCAAGAGCTAAAGGTTTTATTTATGCTCAACTATGTGGGGGTTATAAATGCTTCTCTAAATTATTGCCCTGGCCCTTTGATCGAATTTTAAGAACACATTTGTGGGGCCTATCAAGTTTCGTTCACCTTATTCGCTTCAAGGAATAAGGCCCTCTTATATCCCTCTAAGTCTCAATCCCTCCAATACCTCGAAGCTATACTTCAATTAACCCATCTTCAGTTTTAGATAATACAGGGGAATTATCAGCTATTGGCGCGGAGAAAAAAGCTGCGGATTTATTAAAAGTATTATCTCCGTCCTCAAATAATTCATGGGAGGTCGGGGCACGTTCAACTGGAGCTTTAAATAAACAATTTGAATCAAAATTGATTGAGCAATTTGGACCTCCGCCAGGATTTGAGCCTAAAGGGAAAGATATTGGAGGAGAAAAACAGTGTAAAGATGTTGGGTTGTCAATTAAACATGAAATTTTGAAAAAGAATGAGGTGTCGATAAAACACGAAATTTCGATAAAACATGAACTGTCAAAAAGTGACGAGATGTCAATTGACCGTTTAATTAGAGAAAAAGTTGGAAAATTGCCAGTAGTAAATTGTCTGTTTGGAAGACATGGGTCAAACGATTCTACTGAAAAGTTAAAAAATAATTGTGGATTTGAGAAGGAAGAAGATAAAAAAGTTTTGGTCTGTTTGATAGACTCCTGAATTTTTGCTTTATATAAATTTTTCTATTAATTCTGACTTTTTAGAATTCGACAAACAGTGATTATAATCGAGGTGTAGCAATACCTACAAAATCGTGTGGAGATGATCGTTCTGTTGATAACGATTCCTGTTCGCCCATATATGGAAGTTCCTTCCCTACAACAGCGCCTATCTCTAGCGCTACTTTTCAACAAATTAGTGAGCTAAAAGGTTCTTTTAAAAACAAACTATAATAATTCAGATCAATTCCAAAATGAATATCCTCCTTTGGAAACGTCACCTTACGGTTCAAACAGTTCACTTCGAACACAAGTCACCTCAAACATTGTCAGCTCACTTCGAAAAAATCTTGAGCAAATATGGACATCAAGGTCCGTGTTATTTAGTATATTCTTTTTAATAGGGGTATTAAGGTCGTCCTCTATACCGTATTCCGTTTAATAAAATGATCTCTCAATTTGAATGGTCACTCTAATTGAGTGTCGCCTTTTGTGGGTAGTGTTAAAAAGAATGACTGTCATTCAATTGGAGAGAATATGGATATCCTGGAGGGTATCATTGTGTATCTATCTACGCTAGAGATCGCAAAGAAAGGCTTTGGGACAAAATCTTGGTTATCGAGATCAAACTATCGTTCTCGATTATCGCACGACCTTCCGTCACCCTTAGTCTCACTCTAAACTATTATACTCGGAGACATCCTGAAACATTTAAGGGGATTCTTCTTAAACTTGACTATTTTTAAATAATTTATTTATAGTTTGCCAGAGATTGATCAAAATTCTAATAGTAGCAACACAAAACAAATAGATAAAATGAATTCAAATAAAATTGAAGAAACTGATAGTAAAACTACAGTAATTGAAACCACACTAATTTCTAATAATGAGACTAATAAAAGCAGCGTCACAAAATTGTGTTATTCCGATGTTGTAAAGAAAGCAGTAAAATGTGAGGAAATTGAGGTTCTTGGGCAAGAAATAGAAATTATTGGGTTGCCATATGAGACTGGAAAAGATGGCAATTTGAATAAAAATTTTGAGCCTGGAAGCGGGAAACAAACTTGGGCTATGCGTGCAATTAGAAAGGTTATAGTGAATTAATATTTTAAGCAAATCTTTTCAATTTAAGTCGTGTCTTGGTGGGAAATCTACATCCACGCCTTCTCTTTCTCGTTCTGTTTCTATGGGGGTTGAACAAATTGTTAGCAAGATGGAAAGTAAATAATAGTTAAAGGGTTTATGTATTTAAATTATGTTTTGTTGCATAAACTTGCGGGATAATCAGAACGGATCGGATTTTTAGTTATATGAGATGACAAACTTGCCTTGACTTTTGGTCTTGATAAAGAGTATTCTTTAAGTATTCTTGGTGTATTCTTTGGGTATTCTTGGACTATTCTTTGGGTTTACTGTATTTTCTTAGTTTAAGTCGGGCTTCATTTTCTATAATAGGAGTCATGGCCTTGTTTTAGGCAAGTTTTTCGGTCTCGGGCGTTTTAGCCAGTTCGAATACCTACCTATTTTTAAATGGTAGATTTTTACCTAAATTTACTTCAGTAACTTTTTCAGCAAGTTTATGCTTTGTATTATCTTTTGCTTGCGGGTTTTTATCTTATTCTTTCTAATAGAATGACCTCTGGGTGATTTGACAAAACTCTTGGCACTCTTGAGGGCAAAAATATATGACAGTCATACTATTAGAGAGACGTTTTTTACTCTGTATAAGTTGGGATTTCTCATTTTTTATGGACACTTAGATTTAGATTATAACCCCTAATTGGGCCTCAATTTTTAAGCCAAAATTCACATTTTTAATTTAACCCAGGTATATGATACATTTCCTCAAACAATTTTCCAATTCCTCACATTAACCAATCCCGGTTTTATGTAATTTAAATATTTTAAATTTAGTATAGATTATGCATAAATATTTATCGTAATTTTTTGTTCTTTATAAATCAAAAAAGTAAATATTGATATGAATAGTTTTGAATGATTTTCATGTTACTACATAATTACTAGTGTATCACCGGCGAAAATTCTGTAAATTTATGAGGACTAGAAGCCAGATTTCTCCCATATCTGGCGCCGCTTTGTACATGGGACCGTTCCCTGCTTCGGGGGGGGGGGGGGCTTTTAATGTTTAAAAATATTGGTTGTTGCAAAAATTTTATTTATAAAATTTCATTTGCCTCACCCTCTAACAAAAGGTTGAAACAGTAATTATCGAGTGTTATATTAGAAAAATTAATTTGTCAGTTTTAGTATAGATACAATAGATTATTTTTGTTTTAAACTTTCAAAAATTTAAATTTATAAAATCATTCCATCATCTTGTTTCTTAATGGATTTTGACGTGGATATATAGTTGTAATCACTTGAACATTAGTAACAATGCTTGAGCTAGGGTATATAATTGGCATTCGTTTAAACAACTTTGGAATCCAAGGAAATTCTTTGTTCAGAGCAGTACGATATTCCGAGCTGTAATTTTAACAAAATTTATTGGACAAGTTAAAATTTTAAATCCTTATAAATATCTTTACCTACAAAAATACAAAACTGGGGCATTGATTGCACCCGAGATCGTTATAAGCTGAGCAAATAGACGAAAATAGAGAAAGCTCATCTCTGGATCATTTGTTAATAACGGGACAACAAATTGATTACAGAACAATCCAGCCAAGGTTAAGAAAACTATGACAAATATTATAACAACAAGTGATTTATATATCCGTTGCGTTTGAAGACGTTGAAAGTCTGAATCTCCACTTTGCCATACTGAAATAACAAATATATTATCAATTTAGTCATTCAATTTTTCTGGTTCCTCCCTTTTAACCGCGAAACGGGTAATTTTTTTCTACTAACCCGCTGATCATCACTAATCATATTTTACATGGGAATAAATTATCAACTATATGTAAACTAGAGAGCGAGCTGGATCTGGACCTGTTCCTTGATTTTTCGAGCTGGATCTGGACCTTGATTTTTCCTGGATCCAGAGTCCAGATCAAGTCATTTTTCAAAGTTTCTTGATTTTTCCTTGACTCAAGGTCAAGAATCTGTTAAGGTACCCAACTGAAATCAAGGTCAAGGATCAAGATCAAGGTTTTTTTTTGAAAATCTCGCTCTCTAATGTAAACCAAGTCTGGTACATTAGATTTCTTACAATGATCTAATCTTAAACATACATACATTTAATAATAATCCCAATAACAATATAATTAAATACAGTAACCAATGTAATCACAATTGAGAAGTAATAAGCAAAACTAAGTACATCGCCTCCAATTTGCTCTCCAGGATTGCAATAAACTTTTCTATATTACATAAAATGTTGAAGATTTTTTATAATAACGTACATATCTGAGTGGTCTAGAGCATAGCTGAAGCCAAAAATCATTAAAATAAAACAGTAACTCAAAGATAAAGTATTAAGAACCATTACGTATTTAAAGGCTCCTTTCTTTAGAACAAAGCGGTAACTAGAAATTAAAATATTATGTACATTGAATTAATTTTTTAAATTTAGATGGTTTAGTAGGATACGAGAGCTAGATTCTCTTAAAAATTGCTTTTTGCAAATTTTTCCCTTTGTGTACTTCGAAATTGAACTTTTTGTATCTACACTAAACATTTTTTCGATCCAAACACTGAAATAAAATGACCCATTGTGTGTTTAATGTGGACTGTTGGCTGTGCTTTGATTTGAGTCCTTTCATGGTTTATATCTCTTATCACATATAATTTCTCGAGTTTTTACTTGAGACTTACAAAATTGGAAAAAGTAGAGAAACAATACGATCTATGCTAATGAACAACATATTAAAGTTGGAATTGACCGCCTCGACTATAGTTTGCCAGCTGGTAGCAAAAGAGCAATACGTTATAGGAATTTTTGTGTGAATTAACACAAGAAATGTTGGCAAGAATGTTCCAGACTCGAGAATTGCATCACAAAAGCAATTAATAGAAAGAAGTAGTCCATAACTTGATTGGAGATTTCTGGAATTTTTTAAAATTTTAATTTATCTTATTGACCCCTTCTAAAAGAATTACTTGTGCTTGTAGGTCACCCATACAACTGTCAAATTAAGAATAATGCCAATAATGGAAATCGACTGTTGGATAAGTATTATTAGAAGATCGTGAGAATAATTTTCATCCATTATATAATTCAGTTAAATTATGCTAAGGACAAAAAATTAGAATAATATGTACATAAAAAGCTTTCTTTCGTATGGAATCCGAAAAGTTAGGGAGCATCTCGGGAAGCATTAGTTCTAAAACGAAAACTTTTGATCAATAGAAAAATGTACTATCAAAGACTCAGTTGCCATAGATCTTAGACATTAGAATATAGTAAAGCAGCTGGGATATAGCGGCTGGGAGCAAACCTGCTTCTTCAGTAGCTCCTTACTGGAATTAGGTAAATACGTGGTAAACCTAGATGTTATATCAAGAAACATTAAAAAGCTGGAATAGATTCTCATGTGAACATAATTTTAAAATGAGTTAACAAACTGAAAATCTAGATTTTAAACATTCCGGTATATCCGAGTTCTACTCAATTATTTAAAACAAAAAAGAATGACAGACTACTTTTAGTTTAATAACGTTAAATATCTTAAATTTTTTTTCTTATACCAAATATCCAATTAATTATTCAAACTATTATTTATAAGTAAAAGTGCCGATTAAAGTGCTTTAGACGACTAGAGCACTCATTAAATTTTGACACTTGGCTTAATAACTAAATTTATGAATAATTTACATTTCAAACATTAATGTTGCAAGTACAAAATAATTAATTAAGATGACGTTAAAATATTTATCAATTTAATAATACATAATTATAAAAAAATATAAAATTAAGGTGGTCTCGAAATGGTTTTTCTCCTTTTTGATGAATTCTGTGGAATGTGTGGGATATTTTAGGGATATATTTTACATTTTAGTAGATCCTCATCCTTATCAACCTTTCTCAGAAAGTTCCTTCCTTCTTCATAACCTCATTTTGATAATTATCAATAATGAATACAATGTTTAGGCCATATCAAATAAAGTACTAAAGCAATAATTCCATGGAAGATTAACAGTATTAAGATAAGAACGCATATGGTTCTGCCAGAACACCAGATTCCATCAGTGTCAGCAGCACACAACATGTTAGGACGATTCCAACGATTCCAACCGAAAGCGCGCTTATAACGACCAGCTGAATTGATGGCTTGTCTAGGTCTAATGAAGGCTGAAAAATAAATAAAAATAATTTTTTATTGAATGATTTATGGGAGGAGATTAAGGATAAGGGGCATCCAGTGTAGCCAATTTTTAGATAAGAGGCATCCAGTTTCTCGTTTAAATAGTTGGCAGGCTTTGTTTAAAATTACAAAATTACTGCAGCTTCTGAATGATTCGGTGGTATCGACAAGTTGAATCGAACCATACAAGAAGGTATGGGATTAACACAAGAGCGTATGGGAATTAAAATATGGCCATATTTTTTAGCCTTTCATCAATTTGGGCATCAAAACCTTTGTTCGCTTTACCTTTTTTCTTGTCAAGATGACAATTCAAATTTTCCACAATTTTATTCCAATCAAAACCAAAAGCCAAAGTCTTCCACATCGAAAACCCCATATTTATGTTTTTAATATTATCCATTTCTTTTCCTTCTAAAATTTCATTTATCATATCAACAAGTTCATTTAAAAATTTGTTTGGACCTTTCTTTATTAATTCTTCAAAATCAAAAATTTTGGCATTTTTTAATGCCGATATATGCTCATTTAAATGTTCTGAATTTACAATTTGATTGTAAATTTCCAAAGCTTTTTTGTGTGCCAAATGGAAGATAGAAAGATCAAAGGTGCTTTTAAATTTTGATCTATTTTGAGCATAACTTTCAACTTGATTAAATAGTGCTTTTGTTTGATCTATTAATATTTTCAGATTTTCCTCCAAACCGTTTGATAATCCGTTTGTCTAAAATTAAAAAATTATACGGCTCTAATAAGGCCTAACTACAATACAAACAAATAACTCTTGTAAATGTAAAAACCTTCTTAATAATCTCTTATTGAAGATGTACTGTATTTTTACTATTTTTGCTGTAATATTTTTCACTTGGAGATTAGGGTTGGGGGGGGGGGGGGGGGGGGGGGTTCGAGACGGGCCGATTTTCGTGTCATTTTTTTCGGACCTCATTTTTGTCGAACCTTTTTCTGGCCAAAAATATGCCCGACTCGATCTTCTGAACGGACCGAACCGCCCCCTCTCTTACCCCCTCTCCCTAATTTTAATCCATCCGGCTAATGGAAATTTTACTTGTGAAAATAGGTCAACAATAACGAGAATATAACACCAAATCTAGCTTAAAAGCCTGTTGTGTTTTTCAGGTACTCGAATCTTGGGACAGGATTTGAGCTCGGATTGAATTGCACAAACTATTTCTTGAAAATTTTAAATTTACAAACCCCTTCCTCATTCATCATCTCAATTTTATTTTCAATCTTATTTAATTTTTGATCTAATCCCTTCAATTTAACAAAGTCAATTTGTTTGTTAATTTCACTTTGGCATTCATTCTCGACCACATTTTCATCAAGCTTTTCATTGTTTTCAATTTTAACAAGTGAAAATTGTTCAAAGTTGACAATTAAAATGAAAATTAGAATAAAATTGCGCATTACTCAAATTATAAAAGAAAATTTTAAAATTAAAAAATAAATAAAAAAAGTTGAAAATGATTGTTATTTAAAGGAAGCTTAGAGACAATTTAATTAAGAAATATTTAAATGTTTTTCTCAAATTTTAAAAAATAAATTTAAAAATAAATAAATTTTTAAAAGTGCATAAATAAATCCCTTTAAAAAAAATTTTTTTAAAGGGATTTTTAAAAGTGCATTAATTATTTCACGTGTTGCACTTTTAAAAATAAAGTGCCGCGCAGTGTTATGGATTTTTTTCAAAATCAGTCATATTTGTTTTTTAAATTATTTTTTAAATTATTACAATTCCTGAAAACAAGGGGTTAAAGCAATTGAGGATTTTTTTCAATTGTGCCTGCCCCAGATGAATCCTTTTGGGATTTTCCTGTTTGGGACTTACCTAGCCTGATTGTTTAAAAAAGTTAGGCATGTTCTATTGCCCATAAATCCAAAGCAATAACCATTTAACATAGTACATTACTAATAAAATCGGACAAAAACTTAGCCAAATCGGAACTAAAAACCGATATTTTTGGCGAATTAACCTAAGCCCAAACCAAAAAACGCGGGCCAAAACGCGAAAAAAAACACAAAAATACTAAAACCGAGGTTGTGTCCAATCCTAATTAAATAATCAAATAAACTTAAATCCATCTTTAATTCCTTCTATAAATTCATCTCATGCTTTAAGCGCTTTATAAACCCCAATAATAACACAATACACTTCTGACCCAAATTTCCACAAAATTATTGCTGTGAGGAAAGACATTGTTGCAAACATGAAAAATAACATTAAATCCTTGCAACTCAAACTATTGTATAAAACAGGCTGTACGGATGGAATGTTGCTTGCTTGCTTATTTAATAATCGGCCTTGACCAGTCTCTGACCTTGCAACTAAAAAAATATTTTTATAGTCTTAAATAAAATTGGCAAATCGAACTTCGTTCCCCCTCCCATCCCTTCCATGAAGTGGGAAAATGATCCGCGTTAATCTATGGCGATAAGTGCACAGCTCTGCTTTTTTGACCCAATGTCCGGTATTGTGCGTTTGTACACTAAGGTTGGCGGATCCGAAAAAAAATCCTAATATTTGGAACTTACTTATTACCTATAGTATTAATATACCCCCAACTTCGGCTTATACCCCCAACTTCAATTTACCAAGAAATATTAAAACAAGACCGATTGGTATTTGTTCAAAATAAACAGGTTTCAATCTGTACAAGGTCTGTAAGGTTCTCTCCTCGAAAATTCCATTATTGTTAAATATCATTGCATCACTAAGCTGTAATTTAACGTTATACTTATTATAATTTAAAATATTAGTTCAATACCATACTGGTGTATATTGTCCAAAATAATAGCAGCATTCAATTTCAGGATAACATAAAATTCAGAGGAGGCGTTAAATAGAATTGGAATTATTACTTAATTACTGTATACTCTAATTGAAACTCTGGGCTTATATTTTTTAATGGGTCTGTTCAGATGGGCTTATATTAGAGGTATGTTCTACAAGAGGTGGGCTTCAATTAGAGTAGTTACGGTATATTTATTTTATTTATTTGTTTCATCAAACCAATGGCTTACATACCGTATTTATTCTAATTGAATGGCAGCCATTCTATTTTTCAATACCCCAAAAAATTGTCATTCAATTGGAGGTGCCATTCAAATGGAGGTGCCATTCAATTAGAATAAATACGGTATATTAGTCAAAAACAGACCAAAAAATTAATAAAGCTGAGTAAAAGCAAGCTATTCAAATAATAAAGTAAAAATTGGTTTGTGCAATCTTATTCTAGACTTTCAAGTAGATGCGATATATCCTTAAATTAATTTATACTTAATACGTTCCGCATACTATTTTGTAATAATTAAAAAGATGACAGATACTTACATAATAAAAACAAAATATGATTAAATACCAAGGGCTGTGAAATTCTTAAAATACTTTTTTAAATAATTTATTAAAAAATTTAAAAATAATTGGGCTCAGCCGGTGATTGAAACCGGGACCTCTTGCACCCTAAGCAAGAATCATACCACTAGACCACTGAGCCGACATGAGGAGAATAAAATATATATTACATGAAAGCGCTGATCAATTGATCAAAGGTGATCAAAGCGCTGAGCAACAAGCAACAAACCCGATCAATTCCTTTTGTTGCTGGAAATTAGCTATAGAGAAATAATTGAATGTAAATTATAAATGAATCAAATTCCATAAAGTCAACATTTTTGTGACTTGACAGAGTATAACGGCATAATTAACCTTGGCCCCATAATTAACCCATCTATCCGTTCCGATAATTCCTATTGGAATTTATTAAAAATTTCAAAAATTTACACCCTTCTGATATCTAGGCTAGACGGAAACGGATTTCAAAACAATTTTTCATTAATATTGTCTATGCCCTATTAAATTATGAAAAATAAAAGTGCAACACTTGAGAATGGCGGCATTTAAAGATGCCCTTAATCACTAACTCAGACTATGAAATATTTCATAGGCCTGTCTATAATTTTTCTCAAGCAATGTGTTTATAAGAATGAGAAAGTGCCATTTATTAAATTTTAATTTTTAATTTCTAATAAATATAAAATAGCTAAATTTTTATTTATTATGCCGTCATTCTCACTGTTTTTTATATAATTTTTTAAATAATTATTTTACCGTTTTTTACAATGAAAATTTTATTGAAAATTTTATTGAAAATTTTATTGAAATTTTATTGAATTTTATAGAAGATATGGAAGGCCTACTAATCCGAATTTAACCCGATTGTTCCACAATCCAACCCGTGATTGATAATATTTTTCTGAAAGCCCGGACAACTTAATTACTTTTAAAATTTAATTTCTCTATTTAGTCAGGAACAGATCAAGCTTCAAAAATATTTTTAGAAAATTCTCTTTATTTCTACAGAATCTGAAGATGCGCATCTATTTATTTTTATGTTTTTTATTAATTTTATTTAAAATTGTTTTGAATGTTAAACCGAAAAAGGTCCCAACATACTACGATATATTGAACGTCAAAAAGGAAGCTCCACATAATGAGATTGTGAAATCATTTAGAAAATTGGCACTGAAATATCATCCAGACAAAAATAAAGGTCCAGAAGCTACCAAAATTATGCAAGGCATTAATGAAGCTTATAATACCCTGGAAGATGAGGATAAAAGGAAAGAATACAATTTGAAATTGGCACGTAAACCGCTAAATAAATGTTATAAAAAACGAAAAAATACTGCAAATGGAGGGGCTGGATCGTCTGGAGCTAATAAAAGAGCAAGAAGTTTGATTTCTACTTGAATAAAAATAAATTGAAAGTTTCAAAACTATAATTGTAAGATGGTAAAATGACGTATTATTTTCCGCCTACCCTATGAAACTTAGGACATGAATCAAAATCTGAAACGGTGAGGTGGTAGTAGATAGACTGGGAGAACATTGTAATAGTAGCTATATGGGCGTTGAAGAAACCGGAATCAGCCAGGATATCCTAAAACTTTATATCCCATCCAAAAACCTATCAAAACCGAAGGCATTGCGGTTGTATAATAAACTTACTATAGTAAAACTACAATTTTAGTCTCCTTATTTTAGCAAATGCTCCACAACGCCATCTAACACCTATGATTTTCACTACAGAATCATCTAATTATATATTCATTGCATACCCTGACAGGATTGCTGTAGTACATCGAGGAACTTTATATATTGACAATACCAGAAAAATTACAATTAATGGGGGTTATAATAATTTTGAAATTTATGGAAATAACTTGAAGCTTAGCGATCAATTTTTTGGCTTTGTTGTTGAGAATAGTAGATCATTTAAATTTATTATTTATGGTTCAGCTAATAAAGTTAGCAGAAAAGATGTCAGTAGTTTCAATTTTAAATTCGATCAGTCACCACCCTCCTCACAGCTAAATGATGTAATAATTAATGGAAATTCTAATAAATTTGAGGTAATTATTTTTTATTTTAATAAGAGATCTCATTATTAGTATCTATTTGACCTCAGTTAGCATATAAATCAGATGATGCTAGAGGTATTAGTTTCAGAGCCGTTGATCTCAGAGTTCTCTTCCCGGAGATCCAGATAATAGATCATATCTGAATTCTCAGAATTCTCAGTATTTCGGTCACAGAGTTCCGATCTTGATATCTTATGTTAAAGGTATTCAACAAGCTCAAAGTAAGCAATTCTAAAGTATGAGTTAAAGGTGATCATTTTATTGCTCCCTCGTCGGGTTTGGCCTCATTTTTAGCGGACCGGCCCGATCGAGTCTTTTTCGAGTGAAAAATTTGCACCCGACTCGTTCTTCGGGCCGGGCCGGATCGAGCTCCCAACCCTACACCCTTTTCCCATCTGCCTTCCACTATTTGAATGACTAAAATATTATTTAAGATTTATATTGAATATCATCCCAGAAAAACTGGTTCAAATCTTATCGAAATACATGGAAGTGAAAATACCATTCAATTTTCTGGACGTAATATAAATTTTAATGGCCAAAAATTTAAAATGGGTGATGATCAAATCTCGAAAGAATATTTTAATTCTGGACAACCAACACAAAATTCTAATCCCTTCAAAGGAAAAACACACACTTTTAATTTTGGTGGAGCTCAGCCAGGATATAATTACTTCCCTGGAGAAACCTCACAGAATCAAAATAAATTTGGAACACAAAGCCAAACATGGGAATTTGGAGAAGCATCAAAATCCCCCAAAAATGTTCCAAAAACATCTAATTTATTCCCAGAAACACCCAGCAAATTTGGTGAGCAAAGAGATGATGAAAGTATAGATTTGGAATTAAAATTATGAAACGTTTAAAATAAAATTGGAAGATTGTTTAGAAAATTATGATGTGTATTTAAAATAATTTATGTCTAAAGATACTATTTAAAATTATATTTTTCAATTTCCGTAAATTCTTGCAAGAATTTAGACAGAATCTGATAAATTTTGGTTTATGTTTTATAGATATGGGCCAATATTTTTAAACATTAAAAAGCCCCCTCCAAAGCAGGGGACGGTCCCATGTACAAAACGGCACACGGACACTCCAAAATTTTTTCTCATGGTCACCTAGCGCACTGCCATCAGGCAAACACTATTAGACGCACAGCCACCGAAGCGCACTGCCACCAATAGTGTTTGTCTGAACGCACAGCCACTGATGTCTATCAATCAGTGGCGTCCTACTTGGATGCTTTTAAGATATTTCTCAAATTCTTTACCATTTCCAAAAATTTTAATATTAATCTACATAAGGGGATGTGAAGCTATTATTATTTTTCTCAATTCCTTCTGGTTAAGTTTATCCTTATTACCTGGGTAAAGAATTATAGATTTACAGGATTTATTCAAATAAATACGTCAGTTTAGAAACAACACCATCTTTGTTTTCCAAAGGCCATTAAAGCTTCTAACTTGATAAGTTCTTGAACATGGTCATCCTCTCGTTGTTGAAGTTTCCTAATATTATAAATAAATAATGCCTTATAAAGCCGTATTATTAAAGAAATTTTACGTTGCTATAGTTTCCATGCATTCTTTGATTCCTTGACCTGTAAAAGCACTTGTCTCGAAGAACATCATGCCAAATTCCTGAATTATTTTTAATTTTTTTTATAAAATTTATAAGAATACATCAGCCAAGTCCTTCCCGTGCCCAAAAGTTATTGTTCTGGATTGTTCATTTGGGTACAAATCCACTTTATTTCCTACTAAACAAAGAATGCATCCATCATCAACACCATTGCGAACCGATTCAATCCAATTACGAACATTTACAAATGAAGTTTCCTGTTATAGGTGAATAAATTGAGTTCAGGATAGTAGTAAACTACTCAAGATGGGCCCATGGTGGCCAAAAACTTTTGTTTCTTCGAGCCCAGTGTCAATCTAAGCTTCCTTGATATTTAGAAATCTTTATTGCCCTAGAGGATACCCATAATACTATTTGGTCTTATAGAGGGGATGAATACTATAAGGCTGGTTGAACTACATATTTTGCCTGCCTTAGGCATTCATAGGTCATATAAAAGAAGGGCTAGTATTAATAAAGTTCAAAACTAACGGAAGTAACATCATACATCAAAATTACACCATCTGCTTTACGGAAATATTGTTTAGTGATTGAACGAAATCTAGATTGAAAAGCTCTTCTATATTCCGTAAAAATAATAAACCTTTCCTGCCCTGCAGTATCCCACAATTGAAGTGCTACAAGTCGATCATCTATACTCATTGTTTTGACAGTAAAATCAACCCCTAAAATTGGCATTTTCTGATTTTTGGATTCAAAAAACTGAAATAATTTAATAACCTATAGTCGCACAAAACAATGGCTTGAAACGGTTATAACAAAATCTTTAAATAAAAATTCAAAATAAACTCCAATCCAGTTACCTATGTAAAACACAGGTCTTCCCAACAGCAGAATCTCCAAACAGTACAATTTTGAATATTCTTTCTGGACAGTATGGATCCTATAAAAGGATAGGTATTTTAAAAAGCAGTTCTCCGGAACTGGATTTCCCGTGAGTAATTATTCAATCAGCCTAGAAGCCCGGAATTCGATCAAAATTTGGAAATAAATTAACGTAAATGCTATAATTAAAGCTCCGGGCATCCATTATTGGTGGGACCCTCGGGTGGGTTTAGATATGGGCTTTTAATAAAGCCGGGCTGTAATTAGTTTATTTACGGAAGATTAAATCGACAGACTAAGTCTTATCTCAGATTACAGTCATGAAATTTCTTATACTTATACAGACTATATACTTCGAATATCTCATTTATTTTCATAAACCTGTAAAATTTTACAAAACTTTACCAATTGTCCACGTGAATTTTGCCGATTGAGGAGCTTAATTTTTCAAATATTTAATCATCTCTACTTAAACCTCTTACTAAATTTCCACAAAATGAGCGTCTATTATAATTTGCCCTATCGTATTCATAATTTTGAGGAGGATCGGAGCACGAAGAATCTATTGTAGTTGTAGTATTAGTCTCTTCACTAAGCATTACTTGTGCTCGAAGCTTAAATTAAGGGGGATTATCTAAGAATTTTTTAACTTTAATAAAGCCCTGCTCTAAAAAATTTAAAAAATGAATATACTCCATTTATGCTTTCCGGTCCTTGAGTGCTCGAAACTAGTGGATTTTGAACTGCCAGAGGGGTACAAGACAAAAAATCATCAAAATTTGATATGGTTGTGTTTGTATCTACATTGTATGAAGGCGAAAAACCTTGAAATATTTATTTGTTCATGGCAAAATATCAAACTTTATACTTGTATCAATGAAGCTAAAAGGTGCCGGTGCTTCAAAGGGAGAAGCTAAGCCTCCTCCACCACATTCAGCATTAGGGTCATTTTCTATTGCAATTGTTAAGCGACTTTTACTGGCAGATTTTGGGCTCTGTAAAGAAAAATTTTTAAGCAAATTTAACCTCCCCCCCCCTCTCCCACCTCCATGAAAAAATTTCGGGGAGGGAGAACCCATCCCCTTTCGCCGTTCTCCTACCCCTCTCCCCTCAATAAATCATTTATTCCAAATATTCATAAACAAAATTTACTAATTGATGTCTTGCTTCATGTTCTCCATCATATCCCAAAGGTATTGTTCGGAATTCACAAATGTCATTTTGCATTGTCTTCGTTATTGATCCTTTAAACGTGGCGTGAATTGAAATTCCCAAAAATTCAATTTAAAAAATATTTTAGGTAAGCCTTTTTACTTTTTATTGAAGTGTAGATTCAGTCAATCTGCTCTCGTTTTTATTCAGCTTACCGCTCGCATCCATAACGTAAAAGGAATATTAAAAGAGTAAAATCATCGACTCTTCCTTTTTTTATTACCAGCCGCTCTCTTCTTCCAGTTGAATTATTGAAGGAAGCTTTTAGCTGGGATTTATTTTTAGACCTTTATTTTGAAATCACTTAGGCAGTATCAAATATGTATAAATTTTCGAAAAAATTTTCTAAAAAATTTCATTGGCACTCAATTGAAAATTCCAATCAATATCTTCTCTATTACCCTTCAATTTAACCAAAATCTAACCAAACTCCATTTTATTAAGCTTAATTTGTTGAGAAATCTTTTTACAATTTTTGTATCTCCTTATACAGCTGAGAAAATAATGAAGGTTTACATCAGTTATATTGCTGGATGACAAAATATTGCACTTTAATAATAAAATAAAAAATTGGAAGATGCTAAATTAAAGATATAATTTGCCGAGTTTAAGATATCCATGGAAATCAACAGATTTGTGTTGATTGATCCGAATGGCTCTCCAACGCATTATCTCTATTATCGCTATTATGTAAAAAAAAGCCTGGACGGTCTAAGACAAGGAAAGCCTGGACGGCCTTACACAATTTCAAGCTGTACATTCATCGAGATTGAAATGCTTTAAGTAAGATTAGAAGGCTTGGATGAATCACAGGTTAATCTTTCTAAATTATTGCTTACTTCAGTCAAAGCTAGCAGGGAAATTACTTCCTGATAAGCTAAATTAAACTGATTTTTAATTTGACTATAAATTTAACATTTAAAGCAAATGATGGTAGTCCAGTAAATTTATTGGAAAGGTTACGGTCTGGCTTGAAGAAAGAGCACAAATTTTGAGTTTTAAATTCACTATTGTTTCAAAAATTTAACTAAAAAATTTGAGTTAAATAAGAAATCTTTAGCTTCGCTGGCTAGTAGAGAAATTTTAGCATCTCGGGCCATCAAAATTTTGAAACAATAATTTACAGTTAAATAAAATAAAGCTTGGAATCAACCCTCGACAATTTTAAATATTTTTCGTTTTTGACCATTTTGAAAAATAATGGATTGTAGATATATTGTGTATTTCACGACTTTAGTCATTTTTAAAAATAGGGAGAAGTGCAAAGAAGAAGAGAAAAGGAAATAATAGAAGGAATAAGAAAAAGAAAAGAATAAGAAAGAGAAAAAAAATAAGAAAAAGAAAGGGAAATAATTAAAGCGCGTATAAATAATTAGTGTTCTCTAGCCTTCTCTATTAACCGTCTAAAATTTGTTAATTATCAAACTTGTCAATATGTTTGGATTAAGGGAAACATAACCTCTGTTGCCTCCGTTGGTGATTGACTTCGGGGCCCAATTGGTGCTGTGACTCTGTTGCTTCCGTTGGTGTTTGCCATCGGGACCTCATTGTTGCAGTGACTTTGTGGCTTCCGTTGGTGTTTGACTTCGGAGCTTCATAGGTGTTATGGCTTATGGCATTCGTTGGTGTTTTCCTTCGGGCCATGGGTCGATTTTTGGATGGTCCATATGCCGTTTTGTATATGGATCGGGCCCTCCTCGAAGGGTATTTTTAATCTTGTTGACTGTTTATGTAGGCCTTTTTCATATATACATTAATATACCTCTTAACGTGCCCGCTCAACTCATCTAATCCTTAACTCATCCACACACCCAAAAACGCTCAACTCATCTAAACGGCTAAAATTCCTTAACTCATCCACACGGCCAAAAACGCTCAACTCATCCAATCCTCAACTCATCTAATGCTTAACTCATCCACACGGCCAAAAACGCTCAACTCATCCAATCCTCAACTCATCTAATGCTTAACTCATCTACACGGCCAAAAACGCTCAACTCATCCAATCCTTTGGAACGAGACTATTGAGTACCAGTCGTTTGAGTCCCTGGCCGTTTGAGTCTCTGGCCGTTTGAGTCTCTCGCCGTCTGAGTCTCTCGCCGTCTGAGTCTCTGGCCGTTTGAGTCTCCGGCCGTTTGAGTCTCTGGTAAGTAGGGTCCATGACCAGTTGAGTCCATGACCAGTTGAGTCCATGACCAGTTGAGTCCATGACCAGTTGAGTCCATGACCAGTTGAGTCCATGACCAGTTGAGTCTCTAGCCGGTTAAGTCCCTGGTCAGTTGAGTCCCGGCCGTTTGAGTGGTTGATTACCGCCGGTTGAGTCTTGGGCCGGTTGAGACTCAACTGACCAGGGACTCAACCGGCTAGGGACTCAACCGGCCGATATTTCAAGGATTGGATGAGTTGAGCGTTTTTGGGCGTGTGGATGAGTTAAGCATTAGATGAGTTGAGGATTGGATGAGTTGAGCATTTTTTGCCGTGTAGATGAGTTAAGCATTAGATGAGTTGAGGATTGGATGAGTTGAGCGTTTTTGGCCGTGTGGATGAGTTAAGTGTTAGATGAGTTAAGGATTGGATGAGTTGTAGGGTAGCCCCTCTTAATCACCATGTCCTCTTTGGTCTATCCTTTTCTATAAAATATTGAACCCCTTAATAAAAACTTGACGTAATTGTCTGCCTTCTATTTACAAAGTTTGTTAAACCTACAAATTAAAACGCTTCTTAGTCTATAAATAATTTTATTCCTCATTCTTACCGCCTTTCAAAGCTACAATTTAATCAATCATTAATTAATACATGTTGCTATTTTAGAAAAAATAAAAAAAAGATTTTATAAAGCAAAGAATGTATTTTTTATGCATTCACGTGTTAAGCCCAACAAACACTCAATATATAATATTTCTTTTATTCTCTTTTATAAAGACAATAGTGTATGAATTTCCCTTTTAAGAAATTTTTTACTGTTCATTTATATCCCCAAGATTTTTTAAGCTAATTCAATAAAAATCCAAAGATTTACCAAGTGGAAAGTGAAAGAATGTGAGAGGATAAATTTTTTTATTTCATTTGTTGTTTGTCCACAAAAATTTTCTTTTTGGAAGAAGCAATTGCTTTTATTCATTTCCCCCGTATCAATCATTCCGCTCCATTCATTCATTGACACATACTTTATCTAAACAAATAAGACCCCCAAGGGGAATTTATTTAGTAAAGCCTGTCCATATGGAATGCTCAATCTGCTACTATTTTTAGCGGCAGGCAATACCCACCATTTACCTCTTCTCTTTACCTTCATAAAAGACAATAGAAATGCCAGAAGGGATAGGTGTCAACAAAAACAAATAAATGCTCTATATCTAATTTTTTTAATGCGAATTTAATAAAATTTTTAGATTTGTGTCGATTCGGTTCGTTTTCGAGCCTTTCGAGCTGAAAAGCCTCGGCTCGCTCAATCGAGTTTCGGGTCAAGCGAGCCGGCAACTAGTGTTGCAGTTTTCGATTCGAGCCGACGTTCGGTGCATATTTTTCGAGCTGTGTTTTTTTCGATTCGGTTCGTTTTCGAGCTTTTCGAGCTGAAAAGCCTCGGGTCGTGCGAGCTGGCAACCCTAGTCATGATATCCAGACGGATATCTGAAGATTTCAAGGATCCGTCAAACTTTTCCGACTATACAAATTAATTCCTAACCTTTAATTTTCTTTCACATATTTTCTAAAAAATTGTTTTGTTTCCCAAAATTCCTGTCATTTTTCATCCCTTCTAATTTAACATAAAAAATTTTTCCATCATTTGGGGCTAATTGTCAATTATAGAAAATGGACGTAGCTAAAAAATGAACAAAAATAAAAATGAGGGAGTGTGTGTGTTTTTTATGTATTGCTTAATCGGACAAATGGCTAAATTCCCAAATTTAATCCTAACAAAAAAAGCTTTAAAAAATCTATTAAAAACGAGATTTGTTTCTAAAATAAAATTTTTATTGTGATAACGACCCAGCTGTGACCCAAAAAAGTTGGTGTAGATATTTTAATTAAATTGGGGCTTTTTTAAATTTAATTTGTGCTAATTAAATTTTTTAAATTGTCAGCTCTTAATTTAGAAATAAAAACGAATTTTATTATACTAACATCAGATTTATTTAGTTGAGAAGAAATTTATTTTATTTTGATTTAAAATTATACTGTGTTTTTTAATTTCCGCGTTTTGGATTATTTTAATTTTTTGCTTGAGAATTTTGACTTAAAAATCACTTTTCCATACGTGTATCTGATATCTCGATTTCGCTGAACCATAATTCCTGAATGTGATATTACCCATTGTTCTCCGGTTCCAAACCGGAAGAACAATGGGCAAGATTAAATTTAGGAATTCTGATTTTTGAAAATAAAATTTTTAGTTCAGGAGCGGTTCCAATTTTTGATAAATGTGAAAGCCTAATTGGTTATGAGCAGGATTAAGGTGGATATAATCCGATTTATAGGAATAAAGGGTTGTTGAAAAGATTCCCACAAATCTACTTAATTCTCACAAAATCATGGATACTCTACAGAAGTTTTTACACCTTTGTTCCCCTAGATTCCTCATCAAACGAAAATTTTGAAAATAAAATTTTGGGTTCAAGAGCGGTTCCATTTTTTACGTTTCCGCAATATCATTTCCGCTTGTTATTCTACATTTTTATTCTACATTTCATTCATTTAGTCATCAGTTCAGGGAACTTATGGTCTAAAGCTTACTCATATTGGTCTATTTTGAAATATTTTTCCTTATGACCAAAAACGACCTTTCCAAAATTTTTATTATAAGTTTTCTTTTACCTCAGCAATGTTTGTCTTCATAATTTCCTGACTTTTCCCTTCCCCCCTCAATAACTTCCTTCCATTTTTTCTTCTTCCATCAATATCACAACGAAAATTTCCCTTTTTTTAACATTTTTTCTAAGGTTTCCCCCCCCCCCCCCCCATTCCCCCAATTTCCATTTAGCCTACTTTTTCTCCCCCTTATTCCACAAATAACCTAAAACATTGCTAATTTAACTCAAAGGCTTTCTGTCCTCCTTACTCATTTTCAGTGCCAAAATTACGCTTTATTGCCTCGCCCATTTTACTTAAAATACCTTTCTTTGTGTTTCTCATTGTCATTTTTTTGTCACAATTATTTTTAGAAACGGAAATGGCATGTTGAATTTTTTAAATTTAATAAAGTACAAAAAAGATTGTTTGTTTTCCTTTTATTTTTTAAATTTATTTCAAATAAAAAAAATATTTTACGTAATTTACAAGAACTACAATAACCCTCTCTAATATATAACCTTTCGGGCCGAATTTAGGGAGTGGGCGAATTTTCGGGACCGAAATTAGCTGACCTTTGAAGGGAAATGGAATAAGAGGTGTGCGATTTTGGAGAGAATGGCAGTATTTTCGCTCCATTTTTATTGGGTTTCATTAAATTAGCTTTCTGTAAAATATTTTACACGTACCCGAATACAAGATTTATCTAATAGAGCAATTGGTTTTATAGTATAAGACACCCCTATCTTTGCGTTTATTACACACACTCTATACAAGAGAGCTGTGAAAAAACTCGTGTCGAAAAGATTCTGGGTTTCGGCTACTCCGTATCTTCCCTTGACCATATGAAAGCTTCCATAATTCTCTATAAGGTCGTTTAAAGTTCCCTAGCAAAGTATTTTACCTATACCTAACTTACTAGCTAAAATTCTTATATCTTATCCAAAATTTATTAAAGCCAAGTATTATCAACGTAAATAATAATAAATTACAAGCTTTACTAACCTGATTTTCAATTTAATTGCTCACCAAAAATAAATCTCCAATTTAATTAATAGTTAGTTTTTGTGTTTTAATCAAAAGGATTTTTTAGATTAATTTTTATTTATTCTTTTTCCGTCCACAATTTTAATCTTTGAATTTTTTATCTCAAAATTGCTTCAAATGGAAATCTCAAATTCTTTTTCTCCCCTAAATTTAACCCAAAAACCTCAAGAAACAAGCTTTGACATTTTTGAAACTCCCCATATTTCATTTGTCACCACTTTAATAAATGGGGCAGCAGAAGCAATGAATTATTTGGATGAAAATATTACTAATGGTAACGAGAGTACCGAGGATTTTATGCAAGAAAAAATTATTAATGTAAGGAATTTTTGATTTATTCGAAAATAATTTTCAACAAAATTTTTTTAAAAATGCCTAAAATTGTGATAAATAGGGCATAATTCCCTTAATCCTCATATCCCTATAATTCTTCTTCCCTTAATCATCGAGATCCACATTCATTCCCTACATTCTTTTAATTCCCTGCATTTTCCTGCATTCATTCCGCATTAATAGACGGGTTAATAACCGGATTCTTAAATTACTCTAACCACATAAAAACACCATTTTTGAGCTCTTTATTAAGGCATACATTAATGATAGAAAACTAAATCTCTAAAATCAAATTTTTTAAGGATTGTGTTTTTCTACCAACAACAGAAAATTTTCTCATGATTTTCACATTTTCGATGATTTTTTGCCTTTCAGTTGTTGGAAATTCTATTGTCATCGTTGTTATCCTACAGGTATTATCAAAATTTCTATTAATGAAATTGAAACAATAATCAACTATTACAGTGTATACCAGGGATGGGTGGGGCGGGTTTCGGGTCGAGTTTTAAAAATTTTTCTTCGGATCGAGTTTTGGGTCGAGAAATATTCCCGGGTTTCAGTTTTCTTTTTTTTCCATCTCTGGTATATCCGGTAATCTTATTAAATTACCCAAAAATAATCTTTGATTTGCCATTTTTAAAATTAAAAATTCCCAACTGAATGTTTCTTAATCTTTAATTTTTATTCAAGCAAAAATCTATGCATTCTGTAACAAATTTATACCTGCTAAATTTGGCCTTAAGTGACTTGCTTCTGAGCGTAGTTTGTGAGTAATATTTTATTAAATATTCATGGAAAAAAATAAAAATAACTTTAAATTAATAATTAATGACTAGCTTTAATAAAATAAAATTTTTTAAAAATTTAATTTAAAGGTATGCCCCCAACCCTGGTCAGTTCCTTAGTTTATTGCTGGGTATTTGGCGATTTACTTTGTAAACTATTGGCATATCTACAACGTAGATTTAATTTTTATCTAAATTTTAAAGATTTTTTATTTACAGCAGTTGTCGTAACAGGTATAATTTAATTTTGAGAAAAATTTTAAAAATTATATAATGCTAAATTTTTATATGCATAATATATATTAATTGAATATGCAAATTAAAAATACCAGAGAATTTTGTAGGTTATATTTCTCTAACCAACATTACACTAATACAGGGTGTCCCAACTAAAAAGCACTATTTTAAAAATTAATAACTTTTTACTATCTTGACGGATTTTAAGATTTTTGGTATTTTATATCTATAATTTATGAGAATTATTTTTGACATAAAAATTTTGTCTAAATTCGAACCCTAACCCTAGATAATTTCGTACTCTACCGTTCTGTTTTTCCCTTTTTCCGCACATGCATTCTTACTCCCTTTTGTTTTTTTTGAGCAGCGATAGACACTAGAGTAAACACTAGGCGATAGACACTACATTTTCAATACAGTATCCACCAGTGCTGGGTATGGCTCCGGGAGCTAGCTCCGGAGCCCGGCTCCGGAGCCGGCTCCGGCGGAGCCGGAGCCGGAGCTAAGATTTTGAAAACCCCGGAGCCGGAGCTGGAGCCGGAGCCAAGAATTTCAAACCCCGGAGCCCGGAGCCGGAGCCGGAGCCAAGGTTTTCCAATTCCCCACGGCTCCGGCTATACACCCCTAAAGATGGGTTAGAGAAAAAGAAGTAAGCAAAGATGGTAGGCGAGAAAAGAAAAGGAAGAGAAAATTGAGACGGGTAAAAAAGATTTTCTTTCCTTTACTTTGTAAAGTAGTTGTGGTTGAATGGATAGTGAGTTAGGTTCCGAATTTTATCCGGTTATAGGTTCGAAAAATATTACAAAAAATGATTAAATAACTGTTTTGCTTTGGAAAATAGATTATAATAAGCATTTTTTAAATAAATAAAGCTGGATAAATTTTTTAAATTGATTAATTTTAGTCTCCTGTGAGTCAAATTTTTCAAAATTTTTGCCTGCGGCGCAAAAAAGGAAGATTTTTGGCTTAAGGATCTTCCAAAATTCTCAAAATTTTCGCCTGCGGCGCAAAAAAGGAAGATTTTTGGCTTAAGGATCTTCCAAAATTCACAAAATTTTTGCCTGCGGCGCAAAAACCAAGTGATAATGAGAGGATAAATCCAACATATCCAACATACTCTTCTTAATCCTCTGATATCACTCGATATCCCCCTTTATCTACCCAAATCCCCCAATGAAAAATAATTAATTGATTTTCCAGCCGGAGCCCGGAGCCAACATGGAGCGGCTCCGAAAATCGCCGGCTCCGGAGCCCGGAGCCGGAGCCGGAGCCAAGATTTTGAAACCCCGGAGCTCGGAGCCGGAGCCGGAGCCAAGATTTTGAAACCCCGGAGCCCGGAGCCGGAGCCGGAGCCAACAAATGGCAAATACCCAGCACTGGTATCCACTCTTCGCCATACGCAGGAAAATAAATGCACTAAGATAGCACACAATGAAAAGAGGGAAAAAAGAGAACGGTTGAGTACGAAATTGAAATACAGGGTTAGGGTTCGAATTTAGACATTATTTTTATGTCAAAAAAATTCTCATAAATTATAGATATAAAATACCAAAGATCATTAAAATCCGTCAAGATATTAAAAAGTTATTAATTTTCAAAATAGTGCTTTTTAGTTGGGACACCCTGTACATTAAATTAGTGTCATGTATACCTACCAAATTTACCTACCAAATTTTAATCCCTACCAAATTTTAAAATAACACATATAAAGAATTTATATAAAATTCTTATAACAGCCTCAGCCTATACTCTTGCTGCAATAGCATTAGAACGTTATTATGCAATATGTCGTCCTCTACAATCGCGAATATGGCATACCCGTACACACGCAAAATTTATGATTAGCCTTGTTTGGTCAGTAATTTGTATACTTTAGTTTGGCTATGATTTTGGCAATTATAATATCCATAAATTTGTTTTCAATTTTTCAGGCTAGCCTCTATCATCGTTAATTTATTTATGTTATTTATGTATGAAGAAAGAAAATTTAATACAAATGGCCTTAACTGTTCCCCAAAATTTAAACCTCTAGTTCATTTTAGCTATCAGGTCTAGACTCATTTTCCACTTTAAAAATTAATTTTTAAAGATTTACATGACTGTCATGCTTCTAGTTATTCCGTTGGTTGCCATGACTGTTCTGTAAGAATTTTAATTCTTTCTGAACCAAAGTATACTCATAATTTTTAGATATGGCAGCGTTATTCGCACTCTTAGCTCAGGGATTTTTGTCGATCTTGCTTCTAAAGAAGTTGTTGACAGTATGTCTTTTTAATTCTGATACAAAAAATATTTCAAATTTTAATTAGAAGCCGATAATCTCGAAAATCGGCAACAGAATCTTTCAAACAGTAAATGGTACAAGAGGCCTAGCCTAGAAGGAGGCTGCTCAAAAGGCAGCAGACTATCTCTAGTGGCAATGATAAAAAATGAATTAAAACTAGGCTTAAGAGAACCAACAATAGCTACCTCATGTTTGCGTCAAAAGAGAACAAGTAATGGCCAAGTTGTGGAAGTCAATCTAAGATCTACCCAAGCTGAAAAAAGTGCAATTGCTAAAAAGAGGTGATCGAGCAAAATAATTTTTAATTGATTTTTAAAAGTTTTCCCGTACTCCGCAATACATAAAGTGTACTAGAGAATTAACTACTAGAGAATTAATTTGCTTAATATTAATTATTATATCTTTATCTGAAATATCTTTATCTGAAATATGTTTATCTGAAAATATTTTTATCTGAAATATCAATATCTTTATCCGAAATACTATAAAATTATGAGTAATTTACATAATATTAATTATTTCAATAAATCTATCTTAATAATAGAGAATTATAAGTAATTTACATAATATTAATTATTTCAATATTTTTATCTGAAGTACTAGATAATAAATCTACATAATATTAATTATTTCAATAAATCTATCTTAATAAGAGAGAATTATAAGTAATTTACATAATATTAATTATTTCAATATCTTTATCTGAAATACTATAAAATTAATTTACTTAATATTAATTATTTCAATAAATCTATCTTAATAATAGAGAATTATAAGTAATTTACTTAATATTAATTATTTCAATATTTTTATCTCAAAGACTATAAAATTAATTTACTTAATATTAATTATTTCAATAAATCTATCTTAATAATAGAGAATTATAAGTAATTTACATAATATTAATTATTTCAATATTTTTATCTCAAATACTATAAAATTAATTTACTTAATATTAATTATTTCAATAAATCTATCTTAATAATAGAGAATTATAAGTAATTTATATAATATTAATTATTTCAATATTTTTATCTTAAGTACTAGAGAATAAATCTACATAATATTAATTATTTCAATAAATCTATCTTAATAAGAGAGAATTATAAGTAATTTACATAATATTAATTATTTCAATATCTTTATCTGAAATACTATAAAATTAATTTACTTAATATTAATTATTTCAATATCTTTATCTGAAATATAGAGAATTATGAATAATTTACATAATATTAATTATTTCAATATTTTTATCTTAAGTACTAGAGAATAAATCTACATAATATTAATTATTTCAATATCCTTATCGGAAATACTATAAAATTAATTTACATAATATTAATTATTTCAATATTCTTATCTGAAATATAGAGAATTAATTTACATAATATTAATTATTCCAATAATTTTATCTGAAATAATAGAGAAGTGTGTGTTATGCTTCTCTAATTGATTAACAAGTTAGACTTTGGAGCTATTCGAGTTTGAATAATTATAGTACTGTTTAGCTTATTTGAGTCACAAATTATTTTGTTAATTTAGGCTTATTCGAATGCTTATTGTGATTGTTGTACTTTTCTTTTTCTGTTGGACACCTTCATATATTTGGTGGATATTTTTGTGTGCGCAAGACACATTTGGGGTTTATTAAGATTTATATTTGTATTTAAATCACTTCAACGTTCAGACCTTTAATATTTGGAATTCTGAAGTTAATACGATAATAACAGTTCTGACTTATCTCTCGTCATGTACAAATCCCATAACCTATTGTTTTTTGAACAATAAATTTCGCAATGCTCTGATACTTACATTTGGATGGAAACGTAAACTTAAGAAATTAAATTAGCCAGAATAAATTTTTTAAAGGCTCGAGTGCGCGAAAGAGCAAAAGTGAGGGTCATTACAATTATACACAAAACACATCTCCTATGGAATATAGAAGGCGTTCTTATGATCCGAATGATGAAAATTAAAAATAATTTAAATTAAATTAATATTTTAAATGTAATATAAGATGAATTATAAATATTTATTTGATTGTTTTTTGGGTTTAAATTCAAAATTTTAACACAATAAATTTAAATATTTTGTTAGAAGTAAGCTATTCTGCCTCGGAGCACAAATAAATAATTATATACGGGCTATAGCAAGCTTCTAGCAGGTCAGCTCAATCTTGATTCGAATGATATATTAATTATCCTTATCAGATTTTTATTCACTGATAAATGAATTTTTAAAATTTTAAATTCCCCAAAAATACATAATAGTGATCAAATATGGTATTATAGACTTACAGAAAGTTAATGAAAAAATCTCGGCCGGTAATTTTTAAATACAGTTTTTAATGCTGATTCGAATGATATATTATTTATCCTTATCAGATTTTTATTCACTGATAAATGAATTTTTAAAATTTCAAATTCCCCAAAAATACATAATAGTGCTCAAATATGGTATTATAAACTTACAGTATGTTAATGAAAAAATCTCGGCCGGTAATTTTTAAATACAGTTTTTAATGCTGATTCGAATGATATATTATTTATCCTTATCAGATTTTTATTCATTGATAAATGAATTTTTAAATTTTCAAATTCCCCAAAAATACATAATAGTGCTCAAATATGGTATTATAGACTTACAGTATGTTAATGAAAAAATCTTAACCGGTAATTTTTAAATACAGTTTTTAATGCTGATTCGAATGATATATTATTTATCCTTATCAGATTTTTATTCACTGATAAATGAATTTTTAAAATTTCAAATTCCCCAAAAATACATAATAGTGCTCAAATATGGTATTGTAGACTTACAGTATGTTAATGAAAAAATCTTAACCGGTAATTTTTTAATACAGTTTTTAATGCTGATTCAATTGATATATTATTTATCCTTATCAGATTTTTCTTCACTGATAAATGAATTTTTAAAATTTCAAATTCCCCAAAAATACATAAAAGTGCTCAAATATAGTATTATAGACTTACAGTATGTTAATGAAAAAATCTTTGCCGATAATTTTTAAATACAGTTTTTAATGCTGATTCGAATGATATATTATTTATTTTTATCAGATTTTTATTCACTGATAAATGAATTTTTAAAATTTCAAATTCTCCAAAAATACATAATAGTGCTCAAATATGGTATTATAAATTTACAGTATGTTAATGAAAAAATCTCGGCCGGTAATTTTTAAATACAGTTTTTAATGCTGATTCGAATGATATATTATTTATCCTTATCAGATTTTTATTCACTGATAAATGAATTTTTAAAATTTCAAATTCCCCAAAAATACATAATAGTGCTCAAATATGGTATTGTAGACTTACAGTATGTTAATGAAAAAATCTTAACCGGTAATTTTTTAATACAGTTTTTAATGCTGATTCAATTGATATATTATTTATCCTTATCAGATTTTTATTCACTGATAAATGAATTTTTAAAATTTCAAATTCCCCAAAAATACATAATAGTGCTCAAATATGGTATTATAGACTAACAGTATGTTAATGAAAAAATCTTAACCGGTAATTTTTAGATACAGTTTTTAATGCTGTTTCGAATGATATATTAATTATCCTTATCAGATCAGTATTCACTGATAAATGAATTGTTAAATTTTCAAATTCCCCAAAAACACATAATAGTGCTCAAATATGGTATTATAAACTTACAGTATGTTAATGAAAAAATCTCGGCCTGTAATTTTTAGATACAGTTTTTAATGCTGTTTCGAATGATATATTATTTATTTTTATCAGATTTTTATTCACTGATAAATGAATTTTTAAAATTTCAAATTCCCCAAAAATACATAATAGTGCTCAAATACAGTATTATAGACTTATAGTATGTTAATGAAAAAATCTTAACCGGTAATTTTTTAATACAGTTTTTAATGCTGATTCGAATGATATATTATTTATCCTTATCAGATTTTTATTCACTGATAAATGAATTTTTAAAATTTCAAATTCCCCAAAAATACATAATAGTGCTCAAATATGGTATTATAAACTTACAGTATGTTAATCAAAAAATCTTAACCGGTAATTTTTTAATACAGTTTTTAATGCTGATTCGAATGATATATTATTTATCCTTAACAGATTTTTATTCACTGATAAATGAATTTTTAAAATTTTAAATTCCCCAAAAATACATAATAGTGCTCAAATATGGTATTATAAACTTACAGTATGTTAATCAAAAAATCTTAACCGGTAATTTTTTAATACAGTTTTTAATGCTGATTCGAATGATATATTATTTATCCTTAACAGATTTTTATTCACTGATAAATGAATTTTTAAAATTTCAAATTCCCCAAAAATACATAATAGTGCTCAAATACAGTATTATAGACTTATAGTATGTTAATGAAAAAATCTCGGCCGGTAATTTTTAAATACAGTTTTTAATGCTGATTCGAATGATATATTATTTATCCTTATCAGATTTTTATTCACTGATAAATAAATTTTTAAAATTTCAAATTCTCCAAAAATACATAATAGTGCTCAAATATGGTATTATAAATTTACAGTATGTTAATGAAAAAATTTCGGCCGGTAATTTTTTAATACAGTTTTTAATGCTGATTCGAATGATATATTATTTATCCTTATCAGATTTTTATTCACTGATAAATAAATTTTTAAATTTTCAAATTCCCCAAAAATACATAATAGTGCTCAAATATGGTATTATAAACTTACAGTATGTTAATGAAAAAATCTTAACCGGTAATTTTTTAATACAGTTTTTAATGCTGATTCAATTGATATATTATTTATCCTTATCAGATTTTTCTTCACTGATAAATGAATTTTTAAAATTTCAAATTCCCCAAAAATACATAATAGTGCTCAAATACAGTATTATAGACTTATAGTATGTTAATGAAAAAATCTCGGCCGGTAATTTTTAAATACAGTTTTTAATGCTGATTCGAATGATATATTATTTATCCTTATCAGATTTTTATTCACTGATAAATGAATTTTTAAAATTTCAAATTCCCCAAAAATACATAATAGTGCTCAAATATGGTATTATAAACTTACAGTATGTTAATCAAAAAATCTTAACCGGTAATTTTTTAATACAGTTTTTAATGCTGATTCGAATGATATATTATTTATCCTTAACAGATTTTTATTCACTGATAAATGAATTTTTAAAATTTTAAATTCCCCAAAAATACATAATAGTGCTCAAATATGGTATTATAGACTTACAGTATGTTAATGAAAAAATCTCGACCT